AGCTTCAGGCTCTGATGGCATCAGCTTAGTGGTTTTTAATAATCTTGCCGTACAGGGATGCACAAATGAAAAGGGGGTGATTTCAAATTCACAAGACACATCCAGAAGAAAAGATCAATTTGGAGAAACACCCTGCTCTAAACTATGGAGGATAAACCTTGAGATTTTAAAAAAAAAAAAGGCTGTTGGGAAGAGGGAAGCAACCCGCTGCCCACGTCAACAAAGTCAGTGGAGGAAGAAAGAGCTCGAAACTGAAGCCCAGAGACAAGGATTTCCAAAAGGAGGGCTTGCTGGCAGATGGACTGTTAGCCATCAGGGCAGTTCACTGGAAGTGGTGGAAAACTTTTCCTGGAGGGGTATTGAAGAACGGACTCTCATTTATTGACAGTGCTTTGAACTGCACCTCAGTTAAAATAAAGAAATATAAGCAAATTACTGAGGCGCCATATGCAATTGAGACGAGTTCTCTCTCAGTTACTCCAAACTACTAACCACTTTCCCCAACACAGGCACATGTTGGAAAGTGAAAGGAGACTAAATATTTAATATTTCTCAGATACCACAAAGGGTCGTGGAATTGTGTTTGCATTACCTCAGGAATTTCCACAAACTATAAAGAAATACCACATGAGATGTGTTTATTATTTTGCATAAAACCAGTGCCATTTGGTTTCAGTAAAACGCTACAGGTTTGGGTAATCGGATTGCCTTTCTGAAGTTCAATCTCCTTGTCTAAAAATAGAGGCGAATACATACCCAGCTTATATAATGTATATGAAATGTATTGTACAGCATGGTATATGTCCTTCAGATGTGAGGATGCCTAAAAATAATAACTAACATTTTGTTGAGAGCTTTGAAAGAGGTGGGAGATATCAAACAGCAAACCCTTAGTGCATATATGGCACTGCAGAAGTGACAGAGGACAGGAACGTGCGGACTGCTGGGGAAAAGGTCCTTCTTGTGGTCAAATGACAGAGCAGTAAACATCTGGGAGGGGAGAGAGTGAGAAAAAGATGGCGGCTGCTAAGGAGAGACATGAGCTCCCCCTTCTATGTGGAGAATCCTCAGGGACCGAGACAGCCAAGCAGGCTAGGCTCCTGAGGGCCTTACTGTGATATCAGCAGGCCTGTGTAGCTTCAATGGAGCCCACATGGAAAGATTCCTCACACTCAGTCATTATGAGCTGGTTGAGCAATACATATACAATCAGACATTTAGTAGCTTAGATAAGAGGATCTGTCAGCTTTATTCCATACATGGTTGTCATATTCAACATACAAATGTGAGTCTGAGGTGTAGGTGTCTGTGGTATTTAGCCATTACTGAAGATGTTGGGAAGAGGGCCTGGGAACAAATATGTGGGACTTGTCCTTGAGCTGCGAGGGACGGGGGGGCCTGTGTGAACATTGGTCATATTTTACCAATTATGAAGAAAACCAAGGACTCGAGTAAAAAGGTACCACGAATGCCATTGTGAAGTGTCTGGAATAAAATGTCTCACCCTTCTCTGACTAAACCATTGTCTCCAATTGAATCCACACACTGGCTATGGGGGTATAAGTGATGAAAGACTTCTTGTGTGGTCCTTGAAACACACATTTATTGCTATCGAATTCCTTCTCTTTTGTCCTTTGACCTTCTTGAGGAGATCTGAAGGGGCACATTTTCTCATAGGTTAATAGTACTCTGTGTGCAGGTCATTTGCTTGAGTTATCTTTCGCCTGAGAACAGCCTCTGGCTTCTTCGGAAGTTTATGAGAATGACCTCTTCATGGGCTTCCCAAATAAGTCCAGTCGTTTTCTTGATTTCCCCTTGTGACCTAAACTCTCAAGAATATTTATTTGCTCTGCTCCCTCATCAAAAACAGCATCCATTACTTTGGGCTTCATAAGAATATACATAATAATAAACAAGACGAACTATAAATAGCACTGGCATTCCAACCACCACGTCTGACAGGATTCACTCCCACCATGTCTGACACCATGGCCTGTGGGTTCAGGCCTCACTAGAGTAGGCCACCAAGGTGATTCCAGAGGTAGGAGTTTCCCACACAGACTTACAGCAAAACAGCATTAGTGAATTTACCAGAATGCTGCATCCCATTCAAAAAAAGTCACATTTCAAGGGCCTCTGTGTATATAATCACCCATTAGACCTTTATTGGATAAACTGAACTTTCCTTCCACCTCAATTTAACTGACTTTTCCCTGCAGACGCCTCCTCCCTCTGATTAACCACGCAGTGCATATACTATTTAGCCTTTTCAACGGTCCTGTGAGGTAGACGGTTTCATTCCAACTTTACCAAAATTTTACCAAGGAAAAAAAGAGAAGCTGAGGGGTTAAGTAACTTGTCTAAATCACACAGGAGTCAAATGGCAAAGCAGGGATCCCAAGCTGAGGCTTTCAGATGCCTTCATTTTCTTCCCAATCACTTGTCCTGCTTCCTCCGTCTTTACGATGGAGAGCCCTCCTTCTCCAGAGGTTCCCAGGATCATGGAGAGGAGACTTTCCACTCAGCAACCCCCTCTCTGGGGACACACATGTCTCTTATTTGTGCCACCCTGACAGGCTCTCCTTTAAGATGCTCCAGGCGACTCTGACTCTTGTCTCACGGTGTCTCTTTATTCTCAGTCTCTGCACTCATCCTGGGAGACTCAACATTAGAATGGATGACCCTTACAGTCTTAGTCTCTTTTCCCCTCCGCTTCCACCATCTCCAAATCATCATACTTATCATTCTTTGGAAATTCACCCTTCATTCCTCCCTGGGTCTTCTCCTCACCCAGAACGGAAACCCCTTTTTGATCCAGGCTTTTTTTTTTTTTCCCCTATCCTTCTGCTTTCCTGCTAACGGGGAATGTGCTCTTTGCTCACATTCTGGTTGCTAGGCCTTCAACGTATGTCCTTGACACAGAATGGAAGAAGGATCCAGCCTGAAGGCTACTGATGGCAGCAGAAACAGGTTACAGTGGGGCGCGGCATTGGCAGCTAGAAGGGTGGAAGGCTTTAGTCAGAGAGTGTCAGGGCTTGAAATCGTGCTTTTGAAGGTAACGGACCTTCAGGAAACCTTCACATCCAGCATTATCCTTGTGCTGTTGGACAAGAAGGAAGGAAGTGGCCGTGCCACACGTGGAGTGAAGAGAAACGGGGAATGACAGGCTCCATAAGCTATTACTAGAGAGCAAGGGGGTGATCAACAGAGGGGCCTAACGTGGGGCTCCATGGGGACAGTGGGAAGCCTCGGGAAGCCACCAGCTGATGAGCCATCAGGTGGGGTGAGAGCTTGGGTTATTCATTAGGATACTGACAGGAAGGGTACTCCCAGAAGGTGAAAGAACACGAGTCAGCTGGGTTATTCGTAACACTTCTTTCACTCAGTCAGCACAGATATTTGGTATCCTGCAGGCTTTCCTTTATTCCACCATAATCAGCTGAAACTGACATTTTTGAAATTTTTAAAATCATGGGATCTCCCCGCTTAAAGTGTCATCAGTCCAAACATCTCAGCAAGTACCTGAGATAAGCTAAATATCCATCTCCAAAGTCTTATTTCCATTTCATCATTAGGTTCCTAAACTCTCTTTCCTTTCCTTTTTTCCAAACCAATCATGGCTTTTGTTTGTCCTCATTCCATGCACAACATGTGTCTAATGATTTTGCATTTAGGTAATCAGTCATTTTTTATTTTTATTTTTGAGTTGGTGTCTTGCTCTGTCACACAGGCCTCAGTGGCATGATCATGGTTCACCACTGCCTCAACCTCCTGGGCTCAGACAATCCTTCTGCCTCAGCCTCCCGAGTTGCTGGGACTACAGGCATGCACCACCACACCTGGCTAATTTTGATATATTTTTTTGAAGAGACAAGGTCTCGCTATGTTGCCCAGGCTGGCCTCGACTCCTGGGCTCAGGTGATCCTCCTGCCTTGGCCTCCCAAAGCGCTGAGATGACAGGTGTGAGCCACTCTACTTGGCCACTTTTGATTTTTAAAGGCACGCATAACTGTCCATTGGAGCTTCGGATCAACATGAGAAACTATGAGATAATTTCACTCAAAGCAAATATATTTTAGGTGCCAGCTGGACTCTGCACTGGGCGGGTGATAAATAAGATTTGGGACAGCTTTCCAAAATACTGCACTAAACCTAGCTTAAGGCCCGCATACTGGCCTTCTTGCCCACTGGGGTGTCTGTGGGTCTCAGATTGGGAATCAGACCGTGCATGAACTCTTTTCAAGCGTGGCCCATCTCATTTCCTGTCCTACTTCTGTGCCTTCACTCGTGTCACTCTGTTAGCCTTTCTGAACTCTTCCCTTCAAAGGGAAGTTCAAGTTCCATCTTCTCTTGGGAGCTATTTGTTGCCTTCCCCAGTCCATAGTAGTATGTGCCTCTACCCACTGAACTCACATCTCTTACTTTTCTGTGCCATTAATTTGCACAATACAGGCCTTGGGTTGAGAGTTACCTTATTTGCTTACGTATATGCTTCTTTTTACTTTACTTATTTGTTAAGAGGCAGGGTCTTGCTCTGTCACCCAAGTTGGAGTGCAGTGCCATGACCATGACTCACTGCAACCTTGAACTCCTGACCTCAAGTGATCCTCCTGCCTCCACCTCCAGAGTAGCTGGGAATACAAATGTGCACCACCATGCCTGGCTAATTTTTTGCAGAGATGAGGTTTCACTACATTGCCCAGGCTGGTCTTGAACTCTGGGGCTCAAGCAATCCTCCCACCTTGGCCTCCCAAAGTGCTGGGATTACAGGAGTGAGCCACTGCACCCAGTTACATGTGCTTCTAAATTGGATTTTAAACCCTTCAAACATGGGGGAAAAAAATCTTTTAAAATGTCTTGATTTTTTCCTGCTCATACAACAGTACCTCATTCAGTAAATATTTGTCAATTAAAATTAATCATTCAATTTTTTTTAGAAATCAAGAAGAAGGATTAAAACCAATTTCGGTTAAATAATCTTCACTACAGCCCTTACCTACCTGGCCAGCAAGTCAATAAGTTCAAGTTTGGACATCCCATCGGGAAGCAGTCGAGGAATAGCAGCAACACAGGTCCTGAAAAGATCTATTTTTGGCTTTCTTTCACCCCTAGAATTTGAAAACAAAATGTAAACATAGGTCAAAAGTTTGAAAAATCAAAAAAACACTGACTAAATATAAGGAGGGATCCCAAAAGATTGGAATTATCTTTTTTGGAGAGTGGGTCCCTTGTAGCAGAGGCTTCCCTTGCTAGGTAAGTGTTCTAGGACCCTACCGGCATCAGTGTACCAGCTAGCATTGTTGTGAGAGGCTGGGATGTAAAAGAAATGTTTTGTGGCAAACAGGTGACTGGTTCTTCTACCATGGCAACGCACCTGCCTACACTTCACTGAGTAGTCAAAGGTTTTTGACCAAAAATGGCATGACTCTTGCCCTATCCTTCCTATTCACCTGAGTTTGCCCTGAGCAATATTTTTTGTTTCTTTGGATGAAAAAAGTCCTAAGGAAAATGTTTTGCCAATATGGAAGAGGTAAAACAAAAAACCACAGAAGCACTAAAAGGCATTGAAATGGACAGCTCAAAAACTGTATTGAGCAGTGGAAAAAGTGTCTCAATAGGTGTACTGTATCACACCAAGAGTACTTTGAAGGTGACTGAAGTTTAAACACATAAGAATACAAAATTTTTTATAAATAAATTTCATTTATTCTTGGTCTCCCTCGTATATGAACTTAGAACAAAGTCTAGAATCCATGTCTTCTGAATCACATCCTGGTGTTGGTTCCATATTATTCTCAAGTGTTTATGCCCTTTGTAGCTTGACCAGTACTAATAAAACTAAATAATTTAAAAATAAGACAAAGGTATATGTGTCTATAAAAAGAAGACTGCTGCTATCAACAAGCATTTCACCAGAGGTCTGCCAATCAGCTGCGCTCCATGGGGATTGGTCCCTGTGGGCTGCATTTAAATCAATGAAGTCACATGAAGAAATTGTAGCAGCATGAAGAAATTTACTTCAGTCATTTCCACATTCAGCATTTTTTTAAAAATAGAATTTTAATGTATACAAGGAAGGATGCCTTTTACAAGTGTGACATCTGAAAGCTTCTCTCCTTGATGAGTTATGCTTCTCCTCTAGAGCCCCTTGTCTTGTTTTTAAAAAATTAAGTATTTTATAATAAGTAATATCCTAAAATGTATATAGCTGTGCACCCATTTCTGACTTTTAAACCTACACTGATTGGCTTGACCTCTGTGAAGATTCCTTCTCTCTTTTTAGTCCCCTAAGAATATGAATGCTTGGTGGTAATTACTGGCTTTAGCATTCTGTTGGAAAATGTGAAGGAGAAATGCATATTTTGTGATGTTATTTATTTATTTATTTTTTTGAGTTGGAGTCTCACTCTGTCACCCAGGCTGGAGTGCAGTGGCATGCTCATGGCCACCCCAGCATCGACCCACTAGGCTCAGGCGATCCTACTGCCTCAGTCTTCTAACTAGCCGGAACTACAGGTGTGTGCTACCATGCCCAGCTAATTTTTGATTTATTGTAGAGACGAGGTCTTGTCAAGTTACCCGGGCTGGTCTTGAACCTGCTGGTTCAAGCAATTCAATCGCCTTGGCCTCCCAAAGTGCTGGAATTATAAGCTGAGCCACTGAGCCTGGCCGTTATTTTAATTTTTAATAGGTAACAGTTTGATTCTTAACTTACTGTATCAATAAACTTTACGGAATAATTAAACTACCTACCAAATCTTTCAAATAACCCAAGTGACAATATATAATAACCATATGGAAATTCTGATGATTTAGTCTTCTGAGAATAAATACACAGTTAGTGTCAAATCAATACAATCGTGGGACACAAACATAATAATAAAAATGCAAAGTAGCGTAAAAGTAATTCCTTCTTGGAACAATAACTGTGGTCAGAACATGCAACAAGCAGAATTGATCCTTTCTATAATCTAATAAAGATCATAATCAAATAGCAATTTCACTTTGCGACGTTACTTTTTAGTGTGCTTTTCTAAGTTTGTTAAGAATGAATACAAAATGTTTGCATGAAAAATAAAACACACATATGTTGCCTTCTAAAATACTTTGCTTTTGTGGAAAGTCATAAGATTATTTTTTCTTCTTTTCCATAGACCTTTTGCACGAGCTGTTTGAGGACTCTGGAAAGGAAACCGTTGCACAGTGGTTTCTAACTAGCAAAAAGACAGAGATGTTTTCAGATGAAACCCTCAATAGATATACAGAGTTAGAGTCCAGTGATTGCTTCTAATTGTTCACTTTTAACATGGCAAGAAATTTTTGTTTTGTTTTGTATGTTGTTTTTTTTTCTGAGTCAGGGTCTCACTCTGACACCCAGACTAGAGTGCAGTGGCATGATCACAGCTTACTGCAGCTTGAACTCAAGTGATCCTCTTGCCTCAGCCTCCCAAGTATCTAGGACTACAGGCATGTAGCACCACACTCAGCTTATTTTTTAATTTTTAAATTTTTGTAGCAACAAGGTCTTACTATATTGCCCAGGGTGGTCTTGAACTCCTGGGTTCCAGTGATCCTCCCACCTTAGTCTCCCAAAGTATGGGAATTATAGGTGTGAGTCACCATGCCAGGCCTACAGTGAGTAGTTTTAATAGTTCTGCTATCTTGCTCACCAGATGTCTTCAACAGCTGGGATATTTTTATATCTGTTGGAAAATGGATGACCCTGCCTGGCCCAAAGTGTGAGGGCGAACTCTGCCAGACTTCCAAGATGATAAAGCGAGCCGAGATTAGAAACTAATAGCTGCATTATTTCCTCTTACTACTGCAGCCTTTGCTCTCTGGGCTTTTATGGGAAGCATGTAAGTCCCCCAAATAACACAATTAAGAAAATGTATTAACAGATGTTAAAATTATTTTTTTATTTGTTCTTTTCTCTCTTTCTCTCTTTTTGCTTGCTAGCATGAACCACAAAAGGGATGAGAAATGGAGATTAAGCAACACAGAATGTTCAATGTTCAAGCTCCTACCCTAAGCAGGGCCTGGGAAAGTGGCGGATCGACCTCAAATATCAACTCCGATGACTATTTCCATTAGTGTTGTGTGGGCCTCCACCCTCTTCTCCTAAATGGTTACGTGATTCCTTAACATTTCTCTCTCTCTCTCTCTCTTTTTTTTTAGAAATTTTCCACTCAGTGATTTACCTAAAAGTCTAGCACGAAAAATATTCCTAGCCATATTTGGGGGTCTTAAGATGGTGAAGCAGGAAAAAGCAAAAAAGAATCTTAGAAAAAGTTTGAAACATGGATTACAACATAAATAAAATACTTGCATTCATGTTTACACCTGTACCTTTTCGTGGTTTTGAATATATTGTTTTGGTTCTGAACCTGTCTTGTGATTTCTATCAGTTACAAATACAGTTTTCCTTTAAAAGTACTTTAAATTTGCTATTTTAGAGGAAACAACTGTATAGCAGACATTTTAAAAGCATTCCTTATATCCTCTGCATTATAAATGGAAAATGGCTTTACTATTCAAGGAGGATTGGATGATGAGATTGGAGGTTTATAGATAATCTGGCAATCTGTGAGGCAAGAACTGGTGCTGTAGATAATATATTTAAAGTTATTAACCTTGGTCAGTCTTAATGCTGCTACTATTTTGCTTCAAGTCTGAAGCAACATGATCTTCATATCATTTAAGCCAAAAGATTGGCAAAAATGCAGGATAACATGCCTTGCATAATCCCACTTTTATACTATATATAATATAAATATATATAAAATGCATATATTTATATTGACATAAGGAACAGTCTGGAAGGAATCCCACTGAACCAACAAATGGTTGCAGATCTCATTCGGAGGTTATGGGGAGGCTTTTATTTTAACTTTAGATACCATTAAATATCTACTTAAAGTAATTCTGTATTATTGTCTTTGGATCATGAGCACATATTACCATTGTGAACTTCTCTATAGAGGTAAAAATCTTCAGATTAGTTCTGGCATTTGGGGTTGGATATACAGTGCGACAAGGAAATTTTCTAATTACATTTTTGGAAATTTACACCACAGCTGCCAAATGTAATTTAATTCACAGTCCAACAGCAAAGCCAAAACTTTCTCAAAATATAGAATTATAACCTAATCCTAGTTTCTGCTACAAGTTAATCAAAAGCAGCAAATATAAGTTCTAATTGCAAACCTAGATCAGATTTTGGCTAAGAACACTTGCTTTCTTAAAATGTTTTCTTAAATTTATATCATATTTGCATTAAAAACTATGAAGCAGGAACTGTCATGAGATTTATAAAACCAGAATGCCTGTAAGTTAGGGATGTCACTATATCACATGGGCTGTGATAGTGCTTGGGAACAAAATGTCACTTCTGAAAAAAATGGACAAGTGAGTCATGGGCCCCACTTTCTAACTTACTGACAAAATAATACATGAAATATAATCAAAATAGATCCATCACATATGACTTTATTTTATATATTTTTTGTTGTTTTGTTTTTGAGTCAAACTCTCATTCTGTTGCCCAGGTTGGAGTGCAGTGGCTTGTTCATGGCTACTGCTGCCTCGACCTGCTGGGCTCAGGTGATCCTTCTGCCTCAGTCTTCCAAGTAGCTGGAACTACAGGTGTGTGCCACCATGCCTGGCTAATTTTTAAAAATTTATTGTAGAGACTCAATTTACTGTAGAGATGAGGTTTCGCCAAGTTGCCCAGGTTGGTGTTGAACCCCTGGGCTCTTGCCTCCACCGCCCAAAGTGCAGGTGTGAGCCACGGCACCGGCCCTTATTTTATAGTTAATCAAATACTGTTAAGATTATTATTTTCACTATTCTTACTATTGCTTAGAACTATGATTTTAAAAAGAACAAAATACAGGCATAAATAGGAGGCATAAATGAGAAAAATCTCTACCTATTTTGGTTAATTAATCCTTCATTGATGACTTAATTCTCACTGTACTCACGTGATCATGTCTTCGGGTTCTTTGTTTAACATTTGCACATTAGTCAACATCATACATCTTCCCACTTCTTTATCCAAGTGCCTTAAAATGTTGTCCACAGCTTTTCGTACTTGAGAGTAATATAATGACATGCCTGAAAAACATGCGTTATAGTTATACCTTCAACTAAATCTAACAGAGATATCATGATTTATTCATCTTCCATGACATTTTTAACCAAAGCCTCTATGAGTCAATGACTTCCTTGAGCAGATGGACTGAGTCTGATTCAATCTCTATCTGCACAGCTCTTGGCATAGAGCTTTGCACTAAGTGGGTGTTCACCAAACAATAATTTAAATTTAATTAATAGGAATTCTAATATTAGAAGAGCTAAAATAACATGGAAGTACAGAATTTTACTTGTGAATTTTTTAGTTTCTGGTTAGCATAAGAGATTCATCATCTTTAATGATTTTATGAATAAGGAATAATTTTTATTTGGGGTTAGGGCTTTTAATAACTTCATAATATCCTCCAAAATATGTGTGCAGATTTTTACAGTAAAATAAACAAATGGCTTCCCATCATAAATTTTAAAATGAAGGAAAACGTATCTTAGCTATATTATTTTTACTTATCTCATTAAATAGTGTCAACATCCTACATGCTATATACAATGTGTACAGCATTGCATGAAACACATATATAATATATAATACAAATGAAATGTAAATAGCTTTGCATTTAAATTTTTTACTTTAATGAAATGATTATTAATAATTATTTCTCATGCATTAAATCTTTTTGAACTCATTTAAGCATTACATAATTAAAAATAAATATTTTAAAACAAAAAGTTTCCTCAAGTCTTTGGAATACAAGAACTGTCTTAACAAAATTTGTAGTAGGTGTCTAGATTTGGGTACTTGGTAAGAAATGAACAGATGTAACAAAAATTAACACTTTGCATTAAAATAGTTAAATTAAAAAGAATGTAGTCTAAGCCCATAATACAACCTGGTGTGTTGTGGGATTTGGTATGTTTAAAACACAGATTAGACTAATTTTACTGAAGAAAAAATAAGAAAATCAACTATTAAAATGAATGAGTTATAAATAGGACTATTTACCAAAGCACAAAATGTCTTATCAGTTGACTGTAAAATGTAGACAATCATGATTAGAGGTTTAAACCTCAATATTAGAGGTTCAAAAAGAGCTTAGATTGGAGCAACCCCTTTGGATCCCTTCCCACTGCGGGAGCTTTTCTGTTCCTCTCAATAAATCCTGCTTTCTTACAATAAATAAAAATGTATAAAAAGAGCATAGATAAAAGTCTAACATTTAAATGGCAAAATATTTACCAGGAAGTTCCAAAAAGTTTAAAGCATAGTAGAACAAAACACACGAATCAATCAGAACAACTAATGTTGGAATGTCTCTCCAGTCATGTTTAAAGATTTTTTAAAGTGTATCTCACTAAAGATAATTATCAGTTGGTCACTTAAGGGTCTAATCAGGCTCGGTTCTAACACATGTTTGAAACCCACCTATCATTTTGGCTTCCTCTTCAGTTAGCGTCTTACTCAAATATGTTTTCTTAACTCTCAATGTGTTTCCTGAAGGGAGAACGGCTCCTGTAACCGGCATGGGCGGTTCCCCGTCTTTCTGCTGCAAGCTGTCGGCTATGACCAAGAAGGCCCTTAAACCAATGTTCATTCTCTGTAAGAGACGGTATGTTCATGACAAAAAGAAAGGCCCAGTGATTGCAGTGGAATTAAACCATCAGTCTTCTAGAGAAGTTAAGATTGGCTTGCATCTAGATGAACATGGGAAAATAAGAGGCACAAGAGTGTCGGCCAAACCTCCAAAAATAAAATTAAGTTTCTGTCACCATGGCTGCAGCACAGGAAAACAACTGGGAGGATCTCACCCAATGTCGAGGGCATGTATGGGAAGGTCATATACCATATTCTGTTCGGGGGATACTGGGTGTATCTAAGAGGGATAGGTGGTCATCCTCTGAAGAAGAAGCAACGAGGGAAAACTGAGGTGAACAAAGGGCTCTTATGTCTCCCGGAAGGAGAGAGACACCACAAGTGCTAATTCACTAAAAATGAAGGGAAACACCCAGAATTCCAAATGTGAACCCCAAAATGAATATCACCTGCTCTGTTTTTTTTTAAATTTCTTTTCTATTTTAAAGATATGGGGTACAAGACAGGATTGGGTACGTAAGTGGACTAGGTACGGATAAAGTTTGGGCCTACCATTGGACCTCCCTTCACATGGATTGGGATCATGCACTCCTGGCAGTGTTCCACTACTGCCAATCCCTTTCTTGTAAGTATTATGATAGGTATTCAGGGTCCACTTATGAGTGGGAGCATGTGGTACTCAGTTCCTTGTTTCTGACATCACCTGCTCTGAATTGCAGGTCCTGACTTTTGATTTACAAAGGGAGCAAGTTTGAAAATAAGCTTTTAAAATGCAATGCCACAGAAACTATGGCTGATGAAAATACATGGGTATACTCATTCTGGGCCAGGTATTTATCTTCCTTATGGGGAAGGCATAATATTGGCTCTGAAAGATAGCTTGGCAAGACAGGTACTCTTTATAGCACTAATCTAAAAAGGTCAAGAGGTATCCAAACATCTGTACTTCTTTAGAGAGCTACGTGTAAAACATTTACACTGATATTTTCAAACCTCGTGAAGTAATAAGTTCCCAAAGCCAACTACTAACCTACCAAAAAAAAAAAAAAGAAAAGAAAGAAGAAGAAGAAGAAGAAGAAGATAGTTACTAGTACTAACAACGCTAATATAGTTGCAAGGTATTGAGTCCCTAAAATGCATCCAGAACTCCTTAACATTCATCCTTAATCTGGCCATAGAAGGAAGCATTCCCATTTTTCGAAGAATGGTAATCTCACATTTTCCAGGTGAGGAAACTGAGGAAAAGTGGGAGGTTATTCATCTAAATCTGCTTCCTGAATCACCTGTTTTGTGGAACACTATTATATTTTATAACAAAAAGTTATACAGACTTCTATTCATTTTAAATTACTTTTTCAAGTTTTAAGGAGTGATGATATTCCAACCAGGACTGGTGAAAATTTCTCTAGCTCACTTATAATCAATTCACTATGTACTTAAATCATACACCCTCTCCATTTTCTAGAATAAAAGGGCATTAACTTTAAAAAATTTAACTGTATATCAAAGCCCATTCGTCTCCTCTTTTGGTAGTTCTTTTATGAAATGTTTTCTAGGCTTATATATTTTTCTCAAGACACAGCAATGTTTTGGACCAGTTGAACAATATTCAATCCAGTAGGCGCAGTACCAATGATAACCATGGGTGGACATGCATGGTCAAGCCTCAATTATCTGCAAGTGGATCATCTAAGGTAGGAATCATCCTTGCCAGTTTCCTAAGTTTTCCTTTTCTCTGGACAACACTGAGGGTGGAAAAAAGACGGGATAGTTTGGGACACAGATTTTGAACTTAATTTCAAAAGCAATTTCTTTTAAAAAATATTTCAGGCCAAGCTTGGTGGCTCAGCCTGTAATCCCAGCACTTTGGGAAGCCGAGGCAAGTGGATTGCCTGAGCCCGTGGGTTCGAGACCAGCCTGGGCAACCTAGTGAGACCTCGTCTCTACAATAAATCAAAACTTAGCTGGGCGTGGTAGCGAGAGCCCGTAGTTCTGGCTACTTGGCAGGCTGAGGCAGAAGAATCGCCAGAGCCCAGCAGGTTGATGCTGGGGTGGCCATGAGCATGACACAGCCTGCTCCAACGAAATGGAGTGAGACTCAGCCGGGCTCGGTGGCTCAGCCTGTAATCCCCCGCCTTTGGGAGGCTGAGGTGAGTGGATTGCCTGAGCCCGCGGGTTCGAGACCCGCCTGGGCAGCGAGACCTCATCTCTACTATAAATCAAAAAATCAGCCGGGCGTGGTAGCACATGCCTGTAATTCTGGCTACTCGGAAGGCTGAGGCGGAAGGATCGCCGGAGCCCAGCAGGCGAGGCTACGGTGGCCGGAAGCGGCCACTGCACTCCAGTCCGGGCGACCGAGCGAGACTCCAACTCAAAAAAAAAAAAAAAGATATTTTAGAGTCCTGCATCATACCCTTCCTTTTTATTATTTGTGTGACCTTGGGATATTACTTATCTTTTACAAGTCCAAGTATCAGCTTCCTTTCTGTAAAATGAGGATAATAATTCCCACTAATCACACAGGGCTATTGTGAAGATTAAAAAAAGAAAATGTCTGCAAAATTCATGCTGGCCAATATATATTGTAAGCCAGAATCTCTACTTCATTTTTTAAGGTCAAGTTTATTGAGATATAATTCACACATAGTAAAAATCACTCCTTCTAGTTGCAGAGTTCCTTGAGTTTTGAGAAACAAATGTAGTCAGGCAACCCTCATCACTATTAAGATCCAAAATATTTCCACCATCCCAAAAGTTCCCTCTGCCAGTTAGTCTTCTCCCCAAACTCCAGCACCCTATAACCACTGTCTAATTTCCACCTACAGTTTTGTCTTTTCCAGATGTGATATAAATGGAATCCAGCAGTACATAGTTTTTGTGTTTTGCTTCTTTCACTTAGCACAATGTTCTTAAGATGTCATTGCATGCATGCATTCCTTTTTAGTGTATTCCTTTTTTCTTTTTTGTCTGAGTCTCACTCTGTTGCCCAGGTTGTGGGACAGTGGCACAATCATGGCTCACTGCAGCCCTGAACTCCTGGGCTCAGGTGACCCTTCTACCTCAGTCTCCTGAGTAGCTGGGACTACAGGTGTGCACCGCCATGCTTGGATAATCAAATTTTTTTTTTTTTTTTTAGTGATGAAATCTCATTGTGTTGCCCAGGTTGGTCTTGCACACTTGGGCTGAAGCAATCCTCTTGTCTTGGTCTCCCAAAGTGCTGGGATTTCAGGTGTGAGTCACTGCACCTGGCCATTGTGTTTCTTGTATTGATGATTCACGATTGTTTAGCCATTCACCAGGTGCTGGACACGAGTTGTTTTTTTTTTAGTTGCTGTTTTTGGTGATTATTTATGAAGTTGCTATATTTGTACAAACCTTTGTGGACACATATCTTAATTTGTCTTGGATAAATATCTTGGGGTAGAATTGCTGGGTCATATGCTAAGTGTGTGCTTAAACTTATAAGAAGTTGCCTAACTATTTTCGAGAGCGGTGACTCTTTCTGCATTCTCACTAGAATAGTACGAGGTCCTAGTTGCTCTGTGTCCTCCCTGGTACATCTCATTGTGGCTTTAACTTGCGTTTCCTTAATGACTAATAATGTTGACCATCTTTTCATGGGCCTATTAGTCATTTATATGTACTATTTGATGAAGATACTCTTCATTTTGCTGATTTAAAAGTTGGGTTATTTCTTGAGTTGTGAGAATTCTTTATATATTCTAGGCAGAAGTACTTGGTCAAATTTTATAAATATTTTCCCCCAGACTGTGGCTATCCAGTTTATTAACTATCTTTTAACGTGTATCCAATTTTTGTTTTGATAATGTTTAACTTATCAATTTTTTATTTTATGATTTTTATGTCCTAGAAATTTTTGCCCAGAAAGTTGCAAAGATTTGATTTTATATTTTCTTCTGGAAGATTTATACTGCTAGACTTTGCACTTAGGTTTATGATTCATTTTCAGTTAATTATTATTTACAGTAAAAATTATGGGTTGAGGTTTATTACTTTGCAGGCAGATGTCCGATTGATTAGCACTGTTTATTAGAAACATTATCTTTTATCCAAGGAATTAACTTAGAATGGTTGTTGAAAATCAATTAACCATATATGCATTGGTCTATTTCTGGATTTTCTGTTCTGCTCAATTTGTCTTTAGATTCATCCTTCTGCCAATACTATACTGTTGTGATTACTGGACAACTTTATAGTAAGTCCTGAAATTGGGCCATGCTAGTCTTCTAACTTTTTTCTTCTCTTTAAAAATTATGGTGGTTATTCTAGTTCTTTTGATTTGTCCATGTACATTTTAGGATCAGCCTGTTGATTTCTATTAAAAAAGTACAGGGATTTTAAAGTGAGATTATCATGATTGGGCCAGATAGTTTATTCTATTTATTGGGCTAGATAGTTTATTCTATCTAGGTCAATTTGGGGACAACTGACCTCTTGTTAACACTGAGTCTTTCAATCTACAAATAGTATTTATCTCCACCTAGTTGGGTCTATTTTGATTTCTCTCAACATTTTGTAGTATTAAGTATTAAAATATTGCACGTTATTTTGCCAGTTTTATTGCTAAGTAGTTTGTTTTTCATTGCTACTATAAATTGTTCAATTTCCAATTGTTCATTACTAAAATATAAAATACATTGATTTTATATATTTATATTGTATCCTGCAAGCTTCCTAAAATCATTTGTTAGTTCTAGTAGGTTTTCTGTAAGTTATTTGAGATTTCTTATGTAGACAATCATGCTGTCTACGAATAAAGACAATTTTATTTCTTCCTTTCCAATACATATCCCTTTTATTTCTTCTTGCTTCTAGCACTGGGTAAGAGATCCAGTTCCACATTATTTCAGATCAAGGAAAAACTAAAAGAAACTGATGACCAATAAACCCTTCTCAGAGAGCAGCAAGTTCTCATGACAATGAGGGTGTCTATGGAAAGCCACGTGGTCTGAACTAAAACAAGATAATTACCTGGAAATTACACCCTATAGTTGAGTGGTGGTGCAATATAAACGTTATAGTAAGACAACCCTTTAGTTCTCCAGGCTTTGTTCCATAAGCTACTTCAAAAACATTATTTAAGACTCACTTTGGATTTGTTTCCTGAGAAACTGTGTCCTACAGCATATCATTGTGTGTATGACATCTGCTTCATAGACTATTCTCTCCTTGTCCTGCTTTTGAGTGGGGTCATGGACGTACCTTTAGGCTTATTATGATCAACTACTGATGAATAAATTCTTCCATAACCGTACAAGATCAAGAGAAATGAAAGAAGATACCCAAATCGTTCCACCTATTGGTAGTTTTTAAAAACAAACAAACAAAAACAAAAAAACCCCACCACAACGCCAACTGTTCAGAGAGGTTAACTAATTAGTCATTGACTGAATGAGGAGTTTGAGAAGAGAACCAAGTATATTATATATCTTATAGACTGTGATAATGATGGTAGCAGCTCTTAACGTGTTCCTTTCAGACAAGCAATCTCGTAATTCTGAAGATTGACTGTTAAAGACAGAGCATAACTACTGAGAAATGAATGATGTTTAGAGAACTTCTCCAGAAGGGAAGACTCTTGACTGTACAGTTCTGGGCCTCCTTCCAGCCAAAGGACCTGGCTTGGCACTGATCCTGGCTATCACCATTCCAGAAGCCTGTGAGGTCATCAGACACCAGACAGCTGATGACCAGAAGCTCCCATGTTTGGACTTCTTGTGCCGTCCCCAGATATGTGGCAAGCTTAGTATCAAGAGGAGAACGCAGGGGGTGGTGGGAAGGAGTATGGTAATACCGGGGCCCTGGGTTCCCTCTACTACTAACAAGCTTTGAGCCTTTGGGCTCTGTGCCGTCTTCCTCACTGACAGAATGAAGGAGCCAGGTGATAACACAGAGGCAGAGATGATAGGAACTGTGTGTGTGTCGATTTAATTTTTATGGTATGCCGTTTTTTTCCCCCTTTCTTTGTGAGCTCGAAAAGTATTTTGTCCATTTTACTGGTGAAAAAGTGCAGTTCAGAGAACTAAATGCCACATCGCTAGGGAAAGTAGCAGAGCCTGTGGCAAGTTGCAAATCCAGCTCTATTGACCTCTGGTCCCATGTTCTTTCTACAATCTCACAGAAAGAAAAGGGCTGCAAAGAGGCAGCCTGCCAGTCAAATTTCTGTTGACTGAATGGCATGTGCTTTTCATGTACATAGTTCGCTATTCCACGCTGTACAGGGTACCCACTCGACACTCATTTCCATGATCTGCCTGGCCCTTGAGTCAGGACGCTACCACAGAAACAAATGTGTGTGCAGTATTTAATTTCACAACGTTTTCATATTTTCATAATTCCATGTATTTGTTCTTCTCTGTTTCATCACTTCTCAATGCTAAACTTGTTAATCTGCACCAAAACAGTTGTAAGTAAAAGCACTGACTTTTCTAGAATAAAACAACCTGACTTTACACAGATTATCTTTTGGGGCAAGAATTACCGTCTTATTCAAGAACAGTCTATAGTAGCATATTAACCTTTCATTTAATCATTCTGTTATAATTCTATTTATCCAACATTTTACTTCTGAAACTCCATCATCTGAATTTGGATATGGACAGAAACAAATAGAACACCTTTTAGAGAGGGTGTCCCTCATCCCATTCTCCAAAGTCGCCAAGCAAAGGTATGGCTCCGTGAACACATGCTCTGTTAGAGGTACAAAAAAAAGGGGGCATTCATACCTCTGGATTGAGACTGAAAGCTTTTGCTGGTTTTCCCACACAAAGAAAATCAAAAATGATTTCTTTCATTGCAAAATCTAAACGTTCCTGTAGTAAACACAAGAAGACAAAACAAAACAAGTGTTAAAATACAAATTCAACCTAAAATGATTATTTTCATCATATGCACCAAACAGGCTAAGTGGGAGGAGGGGATACCGCTCAGTTTTGTGGCTCACAGAGGACCTGACGGAAACCCATGCTCATCTCAACTGATGGGGGGTTGCTTCTGTTTGTGCATGGTGGGCAGGGAGGCCTTTATTATTATATACGATATGTCATTAGAATGAATAATGACCCAAAAAAAATCCCCCAAAACAAAGAAACAAATCACTTGGGGTGTGGTCTTATCAATGCTTCCTACTTGTACAGCCAATGCTAGTAAAACTTCTTGAAACTCAGTTCAAAATGCATTTGTAAAGGGAACTGCAAAATACCACTTTTCTTCTGTTCTCTTCCATTCCTTTAGCTCATATTATAACAAATAATTCTGAAAGTGAGACGTATAATCAACAAATAAGACTTATAAAGGCTACTTAAAGGAGAACATGTAAGGCAGATTCTAATAACCTGAGACTATGACTACTAAGAGATATCAAGTTCATTTTGGACAACATTCTCCAGAATACTGAGAGCACACTGCCAGTCACATGACAATTGCATGTAGAAAAGTTACATTAGCCAGGCTCGGTGGCTCAGCCTGTAATCCCGCACCTTTGGGAGGCTGAGGTGAGCGGATTGCCTGAGCCCGCGGGTTCGAGACCCGCCTGGGCAACTTGGTGAGACCTCAGCTCTACAATAAATCAAAAATTAGCTGGGTGTGGTAGCGTGCGCCTATAGTTCCAGCTACTTGGAAAGCTGAGGCAGAAGAATCACCAGAGCCCAGCAGGTCGAGGCTGCGGTGGCCGGGAGCGGTTACTGCACTCCAGTCTGGGTGACAGAGTGAGACTCCAACTCAAAAAAAAATTAAAAACATGAAAAGTTACATTAATTCTTCCACCTGCAGAACAAATAATAGCCTTTTCTGGGTACAAATTTATAGAGGTATTTCCCTGCAACAAACACAAAGAGAGGTATATTAAATAGTCTGTGAAGTAATAATTGAACCTTGCATCTTTATATCAATATCAACTGAAGTTCAACAGTATTTTAATGTCTATTATTTCCCTTTAGCCTCATGATATTCTTTATTTTCCCCTTGATGTCAACTGCTTTAAGGGGTACAAACGGTTTTTGGTTACGTGGTTGCATTGTATAGTGGTGAAGAAGTCTGGGCCTTAAGTGCACCCGCCAATCAATCCCACCTGCCTTTAATCACATGCTATTCTGAGGCATATGGGCAAGCATTTTTTTTTTTTTTTGAGTTGGAGTCTCACTCTGTCGCCCAGACTGGAGTGCAGTGGCCACTCCCGGTCACCACAGCCTCGACTTGCTGGGCTCTGGCGATCCTTCCGCCTCAGCCTTCCGAGTAGCCGGAATTACAGGCGCGCGCTACCTGAGTTTTTGATTTATTATACGTCCGGCTGAGTTTTTGATTTATTGTAGAGATGAGGTCTCGCTGCCCAGGCGGGTCTCGAACCCGTGGACTCAGGCAATCCACTTACCTCAGCCCTGGGCAAGCATTTTTAACCCCCTTTTGCAGACAATATTGACAGAGATAGTCTGTGACTTGTTCCTGTGACTTGTTTCAGATTACAGAGCTGGCTCGTGGCAAAGGCTGGAATGGAATAACAATGTTTTCCTGCTCCCCCATAAATTACAAGTAGGTCAAAGTGTATGCAAAACCATTTACTCACAGTGTGTTTTAAAAAGCATTAATTTTAGGGTCTAAATAGAAAATCGCATGCAAAAAACCATGTTTAATACTGCTAGTCCCAGTTTTAAGTCGAGCAATACACATAAAGTGCTTGGAAGAGTTTTTGGTAAGAGTCAGCGCTTGACACATGCTAACATTCCTCTTAAATTCTTCTTTTTCGGCCGGGCTTGGTGGCTCAGCCTGTAATCCCAAGCTTTGGGAGGCCGAGGTGAGTGAATTGCCTGAACCTGCGGGTTCAAGACCCGCCTGGGCAACTTGGCGAGACCTCATCTCTACAATAGATCAAAAATTGGCCGGGCGTGGTAGTGCGCGCCTGTAGTTCCAGCTACTTGGAAGGCTGAGGTGGAGGGATCGCCGGAGCCCAGCAGGTCGAGGCTGCGATGGCCAGGAGCATGCCACTGCACTATAGTCTGGGTGATAGAATGAGACTCCAATTCAAAAAAAAAAAAATTCTTCTTTTTCACAGGGTGAAGGTTAGAACATTATTATTTACTCCTCAAATTTCACTAACGTGTCTTCTTTTGATTTCCTCTAAACAGCAGACCCTTTGCTTCCCTTTTACTTGTACAATCTGGAGAAGAGAATCAGGAAGAAACAGAAGCAAAGAGTCAAGAGACTCTTACTAATTAACAGGCTTTGTGACTCAGATGAGCCACTTAAACTCTGTCCCCATGGCTTTTTTTGTCAGATGCCAAAAACACTTCACGTACTCATGTCACAATTTGTTGTGAAGAAAAAGAATAGGTTATATGTGAAAACACTTAAAACCATTCCGAGAAGTCTAAACACGGAACACAATATTTTATTTTATTGTTTTTTTTTCATCATTTAGTGTTTCGTAAGAAGGAGGCTCAGCTGCTTAAAAGCAACGAGAAGATCCCCCACTGCCAGAAACGACTCCATTACCTGGGCAATGAACTGGATGATTTTCACAAAGATGTTCAGAGGCATATCCCTTGGCACCACAACGCGGGACCCTTTAGGGAAAAGTGTGGTGATGATGGTTATAAGTCGGCTGAAAGACAAGGGAGGAAAGAGAAAACAAGCAAGATTGGCTGAGTTCCAGTTTTTAAAGGGAAAAATGGCAGATGTTTCACCTTATATAAGCATCAGAGAGGATTCAGAGAAAAAAAACCCATCTCACCCCTTTCCATTAGCATAATTACTCTATGAAAAGTTTTTTTCTGGAAAATCAAGAGCAGTTGGAAAATAATGGCTGTTTCCTTTGTTAAAGTGGTGAATGCGATCCTGGAAGAAGACCTTGTGGATGCTGGTAGAAGCTGGAGTTTTTGTCACGGGTATTGAGCCAAGGACTAGGGAAAGCCTGAAAGTGTTCCTTAGGACTCAGATCTTTTACAGACTGTCATCTTTGAACAGTTTCTAGCTGGGTTAGCGTGGGTGGCCATAAAAAAAAAACATTATCCATCATGGCAGCTGAGTGATGTGACTACCATTAGCATAAGCCAACTCCTTACCTCTGAGTAGCTGTGTTGCTTTCACATTTAATTCGAATCATGTAAACCCAAAGTAATCTGTAGAGAGATTCCAGGGCGACTCGAGCCATCTTGGGGTCTTTATTCTACAACAGAAACCCAGATATAAGATCGCAGATTAAATGCTGAGGTCAGAGATTCTGAGATGACTCCTCCCTGGAAAAGTCAGGTCCCAGGTGGGTGGCTGGGCGCCTACAAGGCACATTGCATCATCCAGGGTATTTGCCTATGGATGCTTATGGGGTAGATAATCCATGAGGAGGAATCCAAATGGCCATGGGGGAATTGTGGGGGCAGCCATGGCATTTTCTCCTTTGCCAAGGTGAGTACTTGAGTGCTTGCCTTCCCCTTCAGCCCTAAGGACCCCAAATTCCATAGTGCCAACAGGAGAGTGAGTCTGTTCTTTTCATTGTCACTTAAGTCCTTTTAAACACTGTTACAGCTTTGATTTTCCCAGCTTCTCCTCCCCACCTCATCCCATCTAATTACCCTCCAATATTTACTGAGACTCATGTGTGTAAGACACTGTGCCGGAACCTGGGTATAGAGATAAAAGATAATCCTTTCCCGTAAGATGTTCACAATTTATGAGGGACAGGACACATAAACAGCTCTAAGGCAGTAGGAGAAACTGGTAGGGACAGGAGCTAGAAGATGAGAAGGACCACCTATGGCAAACTCAAGGAATGGAACCAGGAAAGGTTTCTAGGAGCAGACCAAAACTTTGATGAACTTTAAATCCATCCGTGCCTTCATTCGTTCATTCAACAAACATGCGACTGACTATGGTAGGCCTGCCAGTGTGTCCCTAGAAGCTTTGAAAGGTATAAAGAAATGATGGGGGGGAGGGCTCTGTAGGCAGAGGCAACAGCACAAGGGAAGCTGGGAGCTGGTGGAGAGGGGTTCTGTTTCGGAGACTGGCCATTGTTTGCATGCTAGTGCAGGGCCCAGGAAAGGAGCAGCGGCCAGTGAGGTTTGAGAAGGAGGCAGGGGCCACATGGGGGAACTTCCGTGAGGAGACCAGGCTTCTCTTGACAGTGACTGGGAACCACTGAGATCAGAGACCACACAGGAAGTCCCGTGTCTTCAGTGTGGGGAATGGAGCAGAGGCAGGGAGGCTGGCTGTGGGCATCCAGTCATTAAAAAGTTCACCAGCCTGGGTTCCACGGCTCATACCTGTAATCCCAGCACTTTGGGAGGCCAGCATGGGGCAATCACTTGAGCCTGGGAGGTAGAGACCAACCTGGGCAACATAGTGAGACCTCATTTCTACAAATTTAAAAAAAAAAAAAAAACTAGCTGAGTGTGGTGGTGTGAGCCTGTAGTCCCAGCAACTTGGAAAGTGAAGGTGAGAGGATTGCTTGAGACTCGGAGGTTTAAGATGCAGTGAGCCAAGATTGCGCCACTGCACTCCAGCCTGGGTGGCAGAGTAAGACTCTGTCTCAAGAAAAAAAAGGCCAGAGAAGAGGACAGGGCACAGATTTCATTATCTGACAGCCATCAGCTTCATTGCTCACTTATGATGCTTCCTTCCCTGAATGTATCTATTATAATACTCCATTAGATTTTCTTCAGAGTAGTTATCACCATCTGACTTTTTTCCTCGCATATTTATTTACTTGTTTGTTGTCTGTCTCCTCCAGTAAATTTCAAGGCATCAGGGAATGCTACTTCTTAGTCATCACTTATTCCCAGTACCTAGAACTGTGACTGGTAAATGTAAAGAAGTGTCGGCCAACTGACTGAATAAATGAATGAATTCAAGTCCTAGCACAAGCGGTGACTGAGACAAAAGGAGTATACCTCCTACTTCTGTATTTCTGGTATTTACAAAGCGGATAGCAGTCATTTAAAATCAATGCCATGTACAAAGTTGGTTTTGCCGACTTTGAAACTAGGCTGAGCTGGGCTTGGTGGTTCAGCCTGTAATCCTGCGCCTTTGGGAGGCTGAGGTGAGTGGATTGCCTGAGCCCGCGGGTTCGAGACCCAGCTGGGCAACTTGGTGAGATCTCATCTCTACAATAAATCAAAAAATCAGCCGGGCGTGGTAGCGCATGCCTGTAATTCCGGCTACTCGGAAGGCTGAGGCGGAAGGATCGCCGGAGCCCAGCAGGTGGAGGCTGCAGTGACCAGGAGCGGCCACTGCACTCCAGTCTGGGCGACAGAGTGAGACTCCAACTCAAAAAGAAAAAAAAAAAGAAACTAGGCTGATTTATGCCAAGTCTTCAGATGCCGTATTGCTATCTAAGTAAAATATTTAGAAAAATGTAAGTAACATCCATCAAAGCACAGGGAGAGGTCAATGTTACCTGTGGTGTTGTCATGACATTCACAGCAATGTATACAAAGTCCTTCCCACTCGCTTGAGTCATAATAGATATCTCCAGTGAATGACAGCCATTGTTATTGCTATTAATTATATAATAAATGCATTTCTTGGCCTTTGAATTCTCTTTTTTGGTTTTGTTTTCTTTTTGTAATCTGCTATAATATTGGTATATTATATTCATTTTTGTAACAGAGATGAAATTTTAAAATTCTCCCCATTGCTACTGTTTTGAAGGATAAGAAACTAGCACATTGCTAGCATGAACATGATAAATAGTACATTTAAAAATTACTATTAAATCAAGTTCTCAGAGCATATTTCTTTTTGTCAGAATTAGGTGTTGCATGGCAGAAGTGAAGGGAATGTATCATTTTTTATAGCTCCATATGTTCACATTCTGACATAAAATACATACAAGACAAAAAGTATCAGTACCACAGACCACGCGTTCCTGAAAGATGTGAATGCCTTGGTGAGAAGGCACCATATTTCTCATCATGACTTTATAATGGCATGTTGCATACACAGAGGGTGCCAAAAAATTATATACACATTTTAAGAAAGGGAATAAACTGTATTGGAATTGTAATACTCAATATGTATCGATAACAAGAGATGAACACAAGTCATACTTGGTAGACGGCTGCACCAGCCAATTCTACTGTCCTGTCATGTAGTGAGGTTAGCATTCATTTGGCTAACATCATCTTTTGAGCGGATGTGTAGACATTTTATTTGGCACCCCTTGTGTATGGTTGGCTAAATATTAAAGCATTCAAGTCTGTGCTCCCAAAGTAGCCTGCTTCTGACTGAGGATGAACCAGGACGTTGATGTTAAGGGAGCACTGAATCTGAGGGTTTGTTTACTTTGAAAGTAGGCTCACACACACTTCTGCTCAGCTTCTGTCATGCTGCCCTCTGATGGCACACCTCTATGGAATATATCAAAGGTGGCTACCAAAGGTCAACATGTAGGACCAGACACTGGGTTCATTATCCTGAAGCATCTTGGGAGAAGAGAAACAGAAGGAAGGAAGGGTGCAGAAAGGTGTATGGGGGAGGGACTGGCTGGGTGGTACCTTATGAAATGACAGGGCTGGTTCTAAATCCCCCAAAATACTGAAGCTATTCAAGACAGGTATACTTTTGAAGCCCGTGTTAGTTTTTCTCAGGTATTGCTTTCCTAGTGAGGACTCATGAGGAGGTTTGGAAAGTTCTCTGCATATTAATGACATTTTAAAAATGGTCCCATTCAAATCCCTACTGGATTTAGCACTAGATATGTGTAATGTGATTTTATTCCATTTGTACCTCATCAAGAATCTTTTTATAAATTTTAGCCTTGGGGTAGTGAATTCCAACAGGTTATTACCCACAAAGTAAAATATCATTGCCTTTCTTTTCCTAATAACTACCGCTTTCATGATTCATGGGGTAGGTGACCTCTACAAATCTCACAGGTATCTCTCTACTCCCAACGGGTACATCGCTCCCTGCCTGTATCATGCATCTTGAAACTTCATTACCTATCCCCAGTGAAATTCTAAGCTCTTCAAGGACAGGGACTCTATTCTATATCTGGTTTTTACAGAGCTGCCTTTCCTCATCCTTCCAGCACCTTCCCTAGCACCTCACACAGAGAGAACTCCAAAAATTCTTACTGAGCTGAACTAAAATCTGGAATGTGGTTCAGTCTCTCCATAGCATCGACTGTACATATGACTTCTGGTCTTACAGTCTCTCTCGTTGAGAAATTCTAATGCTTGAAATATTTGCACGGAAATACTGTCAGTGTCCAGACCTGCTTCCCTCTGGGGTTGTTTAAAATGCTCTTAACAAGTCTATCTAGTAGGCTATGACGAAAGCAGTAAACAATAATCTAACTTTGAAGTAATTAAGTTCCAAAGTAAGACACTCTGCTATGCTTCAAAACCAACTTTGGATGAAAAGATTTTGGCCTTTTTGGCCACAGCAATAAATTTTCAAGCAAAATATTATTTTTAAGTCTAAGCAAAAACTTGTCAGACACATGAAGCATAGAATATGCAAAAAATGCAGTATAAGCATTCTCAACATTTTGCCTTTTATTTTCAAGAAAAGGATCATATCCTGTGTGTGCAAAAGATAATAAAAAACATATTTAATGAATGAATAACTGGATAACTTAAAGATGGACCCCAAAACAAAACGTACATTGGGCTGCATGGTAAGAGTTATATGGCAGATGGATAAATCCTCAAATAAAATACCTGAAAATGGCCATTATGTAACATTTGATAATTCTGAAAAGCATTTCAGTTTCTGGAGTACTTAAAAGCTTAATTCTCTATCCACCGCTATTATATTTCACTGCCAATTTGAAGAAAATGAATGATTCTAATCTTGGATTTCACAATCACCTTTTACAGCCAGTTCATAGTTGGTGCTCAAAACAGCTCTAATGCAGATTATTGTGTAATTATGGTTAATGCCAAAATAATATAATTAATCTTAACTGCTCCACCAAATTAAAGTTTCATAGACCAAAAAAAAAAGCTAAACAAATAAAAAAGCAACATGTATAAGCACATACAAGATTTTATGACTAAGTGTATTTAAAAATTTTAAAGCGGCAAATATCAAGCCTGTAAAACAAACGAAATTACATCTTTGGACACCCAGGAATAAGTGTGAAAAAATACATCCTATTTGCACTTATATTAGGAATGGTTTTTCTTTCATTGTCTTTTATCAATAGGTCGCTAAAACAAAACATGTGCACCACTTCAAAGCTATATATATATATTTTTATTTGGGAGTCTCACTCTGTTGCCCAGGCTAGAGTGAGCGGCACAATCATGGCTCATCACAGTCTTGAACTCTGGGGCTCAGGTGATCCTTCCGCCTTAGCCGCCTGAGTAGCTAGGACTACAGGCTACAGGCACGTGTCACCATGCCCTGCTAATTTTTGGTAGAGATGAGGACTCACTATGTTGCCTAGGTTGGTCTCGAACTCCTAGGCTCAAGTAATCCTCCCTCCTTGGCCTGCTGAAGTGCTGAAATTGAACCATTGCGCCCAGTCAACAATTTTAAAGCTAATCATTAAAGTTGTTTTAAATGTAGGTTTCCCAGCCACAGGATCAGCAAATTTATTCCTCAGGTAACCAGCACCTGCACTATCTACCTGCAGAGCAGTGAATGCTTAGGACTGATTGACCCCATGCAGTTCGACTAGAATACCTCCCAGTAATCACAAATGACAGTGACAGGAAACAGATGCTCTTTGTTACTGGGTCAATTCTTCCACAAATTGGAGCTTCCTGCTGCCCCAAATATTCTCCTAGACTGGAAGGGATAGAGGAAGGATGGAAGACATATAGGTGAGCTTCTATCAGCTGAGGGTGGCCCTTATTTTAAGTTTGAATCATTTAGATAAAATGCAACAATGCAAATATATAAAGGAGCATTTAGTTTCACCTTTAAAGCGATCTTTGTTAGAACAGATTTTTATTTATTTATTTTTCCCAAATCTGAAGTGATTTCTCTTACCTCTAGTCACTTTCTAAGATTGACTATATTTAATAGGAACTTATTATTTTTTTCATCATTCCAAGAGTATAGAATAATTCCCCACAAACTTCAAGAGTCATTCCCAAAAGCACAAATGAGAGGGATCCCCACAAATTAATAACTGTCTTTTGAAGGGTGGGTAGTTCACTTGGAATGTGTTTCTCCAATCAAATGGCCAACCAAAGTTTTTACCCGGAAGTTTTGAGAAGGTTGTGTCACAATTTGCAGAAGAAACATCCTGAGTTGTAGCAATAGGCAACTGGTTCTTCCACCATAACAACACCTGCAGCAGTTTTCGAGCAAAAATAGAATGTCCCTTGTTCCCCACCCTCCCTATTTACCTGATCTCACCCTGACTTTTCTTTTTGTTTGTTTTCCTGGATGAAAAAAATCCTCAAAGGGAAATGTTTTGCCAATATACAAGAGGTGAAACAAAACACGGCAGAAGCACTAAAAAGCATCAGAATGGACGAGTTCAAAAACCGTTTTGAGCAATGGAAAAGCATCTTGATAGGTGCACTGCATCTTACAGAGAGTACTTTGAAGGTGACTGAAGTTTAAACACGTAAGCATAAACACACGATTTTAAAGTAAACTGCGTTTTTTGGGGGTCCCCCCTCACATACCAGTCTAAGAATTGTATTGTAAATTTTCATGAAAGACTGTTTTTGAGCCAACAAATACTAACTTTAAGGTTGGATAAGCAGTTGTTGAGGAAAACGTGCCACCGGTTGAGGAACAGTTGCTTCTGACTGACACAAAGCAGACAGGTCACCAAGGGGTACAAGGCCTGAGGAGAAAGAAGTCAAGGTCACAGGACAGCTTGTATTTCAACAAACCAGGTGACACACGTTGAGGGATGTGGCCTCTACGAATCTCACAGGTCTCTCTCTACTCTCCACTGGTACATCTCTCCCTGTCTGTGTCATGCATTTTGAAACTTCCTTACCTATTTATTTCTGCATCCCCTACCTTGCCATCTCCCTCTATGGCTTTGTGGGCCAGAAGAAACAGGATGCTGTGTGGCACAGCAAGCGATGCCCAGTGGAAGCAGGGCAGAGGAGAGCGTTCTGCAGATGTTTGCTGATAATGCTGAAGATGGAATCATCTGGAATTATGGATGGTGTATACTAATGATTTGCATGTCTCATCATGTGGAATTCTGATTCACTGGTGCAGTATTTACATACCAATTTAAAAAACAAACTCAGCATCTTAGATCACTCTCAAAATCTCCAGAAGAAAAAACAAAAAGTATGGAGGTGCATTAATTTTGAAAATGTTACTAGCTTTTTCACGTATAAACATTTACTAGTCTGTCCTTGTCTTAGAGGTAGGTGTATATATTTTCTTTCACATGCAACCTTCCTGTAATTAAGGAAGATTCCTAAAAGAAATGTTATTGCATTGGTAAGCTCTACCAAGACAAATTTAACCACAGCAGGAATTTGCTTACGATGGAATAAACAGAGGTGCTACTGTGCTTTCTTTTCCTGCCTAACTGGGCCAATTTCCCACAGCAGCTGGAGAAGGCAGAAAAGCCAGTGGACAACCACCCAAAAAACATACATGCAGGATCCATCACCATTTTGCTAAACCAGATACCTACCACCTTTATGGCTCTCCCAAAATTAAGGCTACTGAAGATTGATTTAAACAAAAATTTAACTGGCTCATCTGTTAAACTGCAAGAAACAACTGCCACAATGAGAGTGAGTATTCAACAGTTGATTGACTTTGGTTGTTATGTAAATTAACTTTTTGTTTTTGTTTTTGTTTTCTTGAGTCAGGGTCTCACTGTGTTGCCCAGGCTGGAGTGCAGTGGTCCGATCACGGCTCACCACAGCCTCCAACCTCTGGGTTCAAGTGATTCTCCTGCATCAGCCTCCCAAGTAGCTAGGATTACAAGTGCACACCACCAGAACCCAGCTTAAATTAATATAGTTTTAAAGGGACCCTGAACCCCTGCTACCATTGAGTGCAACTCCAATATCAGTCGGTCATCTTAAAAACAAAAACAAAGAATGCATGTAGTTAGTCACAATACTACTCTGCACACCTGCTCAGATCTTGATGGGACGTTCATACTCTACAGACTGGCACAAACCAGGCCAATGACCAGCTCCCTAAGCAACCTGCTTCCCCCCCCAGACGATCACATTACAGCTGAACACCACCTGCTGATTCATAAACCAGAGTTGTATTTACCACAGAGGGTAAAAGGCAGTGGTCATTTCAAAGACTTTTCTGTGCTGCTCTTCAGTACCAAGGCCTCCCCCAAAATGGTTTATTTGGCTTTCGGAGAATATTTCCTCTGGGCAACTATCTATTTCTCAACTCCCTTTCCTGCCTGGTTTAATTTTGATTCTGAGTTTCAGGATGGAAATTAGCCAGTGTAGGCTCCTGGGGATTGAAAAGATAAACCGTGATTATCAACTTTAAGCCTTTAGATTGGAAAAAATTCTCAGAAATTAAATAAAAATCAAGTTAAGCCAATCTTAAAAATGAACAACAGAATCCTTAGGACCCGAAGGGTCATCAGAGGTGACATGGTCTAATCCTCTTCTATGACCGTAACTCAATCATGGTCAATACTAAGTGCGAGTTCCAAAGTTTCAAATGCTACCTCTCTTTGAGGGAGTTGTAGGTAATTCTCCCACCTATGACATCCTCATGACCCCCAGCTAGATTTCTGCCTAGGAATTTTGGTCGCTACAGTTTTGTGTTTGTGTTTTAGATTTTCTCATAGTGACTAACCAAGGAATGCTTCTTTCGAGAAGAAAGTTCCAGCGTGGTGTCATACAGGCTTTCCACGAAATTTCTAAGGCAGGGAACATTTACTTCGTTTTTAACAGCCTGAAGTGGAGAAACATGTGAATATCATGTTAATGAAATTGTTGGTTCTGTAATCCAATTTGAAGAAATTTTGGAAATGAAAATATAACTCACAGCAGCAACTGGGACAAGGATTTCAACAAAAAGTCCAGCCAAGGCGTGCTTGATGTCTTTGTCCTTGACCTCGAGGAAGTAATGTGCACATTCCTAAGAAGTAGAAAAAGAGTTGCTGTTGTAGTATTTAAACAAGTTTCAGTAAATAGCTTTTAATTCAATCATACATACCAACACAGCATATTCTATCACCTGTTAAAAATCACTGGATTCAAACACTGTGAGGGTAGTTTTCCCACTCTTCTCCTAATTCTACTTCAACTTTCTATTCTGAAAGGACAAAGCTTCTAGAACAAGCAAGCACACATGTATCCGCCAAATGAAAGGTTGATTCTGTCACTCACTGCCAATAAATATCTATTGATCACCACTGTGTGTGGGGACCCAGGTTAGCCCACAAACAGATTCCCAGGGAAGGTAAACACGCTAAGAGAAGCATAAGACATTCAACTTATTTTAGGCCCTATGCCTGACAGCTTTGGGTACAGAGCTGTTTACTTGCTCACTCTGACATTTGAGGTGTGTTTATTATTCAGATCGTTTCATAAGCAAATCTGGAATGTTTCCCTTCCCAGCCTCAGACAAGAAAGCCTTTGGACTCATTCCTCAAGCAAGACTGTCACTGGCTGTGGACTATGGTCTATGTAAGGGTCCTTTTGGCTGGCCAAGGGACTCATTTTGTAGGAAAGCTGGCCTGCCTAGAATTCTGCCTTTCCCTCTCTTTTCTGGCCTTATTGGTAGCAATTTGCAATGGTCTATATTGGGTATCGTTTTCACTCAAGAGTCCAAGTCTACATGTATTTGATAATGTATTAATACCTGTATTAGCTATTACCCTCTATTTTCAGTTACCATTGGGAAAAACAGGCCAGGATCAGCGGTTCAGCCTGTAATCCCAGCACTTTGGGAGGCTACGGTAAGTGGATTGCCACGGTTCGGGACCAGCCCGGGCAACTTGGTGAGACCTCGTTTCTACAATAAATCAAAAAATTAGCAGGGCATGATAGCGTGCACCTGTAGTTCCGGCTACTTGGAAGGCTGAGGTGGAAGGACCACTGGAGCCCAGCAGGTAGATGCTAGGGTGGCCATGAGTGTGTCACTGCTCTCCAGCCCGGGCAACAGAGTGAGATTCTAACTAAAAAAAACCCCAAAACAAACAAACAAAAAACTGTTCCTAAAGTCCTCAGTCTATCAATATTATATTAAGACTTCAGCACATGGATGTCACTGAGACAGTTCTCCCATACAAAATGCGGCTTTACAATTCGCAGAATAGTGGTTCTTTCCCTGTGCTATTTTGCATATGTATTGAAGTACTCTCTCAAGTCTTCATGTAAAAGTATACAGACATGAATTATTAATACAAGAGTGGGGTGAAAATAATAGGGCAGTAAACAGTTACTGAGTGCTTATCACGTGTTAAGAATCTTAAGAACTACTCTCTAAGCATTTTTAGCACCTTGTTGATAAGTGAGGCTGGGAGGGGTTAGGTGTGACTGGCCAAGGTCACAAAGCTGGTAAGTGCTGGGGCTTGAATTCAAATCCAAGGAGGTTGACACACAGTCTCTCCTTCTCTGTATATAACGGCTTAATGAGATATAATTTACATGCAATTCACCCATTACAGATCACTGGTATATCACAGTTATGTATCCATCGCCACAATCAAACTTGGAACCTTTTAATGACATCCCCAAAGAAACTCTATACCCCATAGCAGTCACCCTAAGCTTCCTATCCACCTCCCATCTCCAGTCCTAGGCAACGATTAATTTACTTTCTGTCTTCATAGATCTGCCTATTCTGGACATTTCATGTAAATGGAATAGTGTACTACATGGCCTTATGTGTCTGGCTTCTTTCATTTTAGCATAATATTTTCAAGGTTCATCTTTCTGGTGGCATGTGTTAGCATCTCATTAGTTTTTACAGCTGAATAATATTCTACCTTATGTATATACCACATTTTGTTCATCCAGTAATCATTTTATAGACATTTGGGTTGTTTCCACTGTCTGGCTACTATATATACATTTGTGTTCAAGTTTTTGCAGACATATATTTTCATTTCTCTTGGGGGTATATATCTCTGAGTGAAACTGCTGGGTCATATGGTAATTTTAGGGTTAGCTGTTTGAGGAACTGCCGGACTGTTTTCCAAAGTAGTCGTGCTATTTTACAATCACACTGGCATATGAGAGTTTCAATCTCTCCACTTGCTCACCCACACTTGTTATCTTTTTATTGTAGCCATCCTTATATGTGCAAAATGGTAAAGCCTATATTCATAATCCATACATCTAACCTCTCTAGCAAGTTCATCACCGAATAAAATTCACAGCAGCATTAGAAAAATCCCTTCAGAGAGCAAAGTTCTGTAAACTCTAAGAGCTGAGAGTTGCTCATTAGAAACAATTTTTTTGTTATTCACCATGATGGACACTGGCTAATAAATATCAACTCCATATGGTTTGATTGATTTTTTAAAAATTAAGATTCCTTTGTATAGTATGAATAAAACAGATTTCTTTCTTCATTATTTAAAGCTCTCATGCCTGTAAATGTTAATGTAGCTAATCCAATGCTATCAATTTTAAAGAGAAAAAAAACAGCTATATTTAATTCACAGAACAATATGTACCAGTGGGTGAAAGAGAAAAAAGTCAACAAATAAGAAATTCCACTATACACTCTACTCTAAAGATGATATGAAAGTTTTAAAATGAAATTATGTGCCTGCAACCATACTGTTTGGTTACAAAGCACTTCCTAAATTATGGAGAAGGTAGGATGTTTTTCTATATTGCCAAGTAAATGGCTTTTCACATTCCAAGTCCATTATTTTGAAGACAGGTAATTTTGTTCACGTGACAGCCCCTTCACTCTCCTGCCTAAGAGGTTACCTGCATAAACTGAAGAGAGGCCTCAAAGTCCTCCACTGGATACATCTTAATTCGAAAGAATTTCATCCCCATTATCAAGCTGATGATGCTTTGGACCACATATGGGTTCTGTTCTTTGTGTCGTAATTCTTTTAGCTCTGCCATAAATTTCTTCTTTACAGCAGGGAATCTAAGAAGAGAACGTAAGTGACTTATCAAATAATGGGAAAGGCACTGTGGTGGGGGTCTCCAGCATCTAGGAGGGGTTGGGTACTGTGATAGAAGTCCTTCAAATCAGTTGAAGTACAATGGCCATCATTTTGTAAGGATTTGATGTTTGGGATTTGGCAAATAATCCAAGTTTCTTCTCCTTTCCCCCTTATTCTATAAAATGCTCAACCAATTGTTCAGGTGATGGAGAAAATTCAGAGTTATTGAGATTCTCTCAAAGTGGTCTAGCTCTGAAATTGAGCAGGAGGAAAAGCCCCATTTCCTTAGGCTTAGCCATTTCCAACATAGCTGTAGACTATGAGGGCCTATAATATCAAATTGTGAGTGTACAAGCAATAACATAATTGGCAATTTCTGATAGTGACAGCAAATTATTTTTGGATTTGTATTCCAAATAATGCCAATAAATACTTATGTGTTCATTTTCAATTTTCTGTTGCTTCTTTTACAGTTTTAGGCTAATGATTATTTAAAAATATATTTTTAGGTTGAAGAAAAAAATCTAATAATGAAAAAATTAAAATAGTATCTAAAAGAGGAAGACGAGTGAGCTGTCTACTACATTTTACAATTTGATCTGGTGGATGCAAAACAAACAAAAAGACACAACTCCTATCCACATGGAATTTAAAGTATTTATATTTGAAAATAAAATAATACTAATTACAACAACAACAATGTTACCATACAGTTTTTAAAAAAGGATAGATCTCAAGGTGAAAGTAGTGGCACATTTTCAAAGTATTTCAGAGTAGAGGAATGTACACATAAAAAATTGTCCAAACTACTTCTGAGATGATTGGTTTGAACACATACACCCTGAGGAAAGCAATCTAAGACTCACTGTATTTTTTTTTCCTGATACTGTTATCCTGAGGTTAATTTAAGAAAAATTGAAAGCAAGGCATGATTAGAAAGGGAACTGTGATTATAAAAATTAAAGGTGAACTAACAGAATGCTAAAAGTTTAGAACAATTCTTGATGCCTCAAAGTAAAAATTTTCGAATAAATAAAGTAGGAAGCAAATGTACAGACATTGTTTCACCAAAATGCAGTAAAAGTGGCTGGTGGTTGGCAAATGGAATATGAGTTTCCTTGAGTACTGGCCATTTTTGTAGTTCTTGGCTCATGTAACAATTTGTTTAATTGTCTGATGGATTTTTCTCTATGTTTGCTACATATATCTCTCAATAAAAAATATTTTAAAAAGATAATAGAGCAGAAAATGGAAATAGCTTCAAGAAGATTTAAATGCCTTTTGAATGAGACACTTCCCAATGGGTTATTAACATAGCTAATATTATGAACATACTGGGGTATACTCCTAATCTGTGGTGACGTTTTGCAGATTTCTACAAAATACTTACTTTCAAGATAGCACCCCAAACTGGCCCCTACTGACACTTCTTAAATACTATTAAAATATTATAGAAAATACTAACTGTGTTTACTTTATAAGTCAAGTCTCATGGAGATTAACTGCAAAATTATATATTCATTTTTCAGATTAGGAAATTAGCACAAATTAAAATACAAACTCTAAATTTACAAAAATCTACTTGGCATCAGATGACATCTATTTATAATTTTACAACTATACTTGAACATTTTGGAATATAAATTTCAAATTTCAACATCATCATTCTTTTCTACATTTTATAGGAAAAAAATGGTTGATGACGATGATGATGATAAAGATAAAGACAGCAGCAAGTTAATATGCCACTTACTATATGCCAGCCACAGTTCAGTGCACTCTATATACAGAAACTCATTTAATCCTCATAACAACTCTGTGTTTAGGGTACAATTATTATACCCTTTTTACAGAAGAGGAAGTCAAGGCAGAGATTTAGAATCTTGATAAAGTTGCACAGCTGACAAGCAATGGAGTTGGAATTTGAAGCAAGTGTCCGGCTCTAAGGTTCCTACTCTTAATCTCTATGGTATGTATTAGGTCTAAACCAGGGGTTCTCAAAGCATAGCCCCCAAATTGGCGGCATCAGCACTGCCTGGGAACTTGTCAGAAATGCACATTCTCTGTTCCTACTGCAGATCTACTGTACTGTAGCCGCGCCCCCCTCACTCCTCACCCCAGTTCATATGTTGAAATCTTAACCCCTAGTAGGTCAGAATGTGACTGTACTTGGAGATAACGTCCTTAAAGAGGTAATTAAGTTATAAATGAGGTCATTAGAGTGGGCACTAACCCAATATGACTGGTGTTCTCATAAGAAGAGGAGACTGGCACACAGATACAGTGATGGCGCCACATGAAAATATAGGGAAATGATGGTATAGAAACTGAGGAGAGAGAGGCCTCAGAAGGCACCAACCTTACCAACACCTTGATCTTGGATTTCAGCCTCCATAACCAAGGGAAATAAATTTCTGTTGTTTCAGGCACCCAGTCTGTGGTACTTTGCAGCTCAAGCAGACTGACATACCTACTGAATCAGTAACTCTGGGATGAAGTCCAGTGATCTGTGCTTAATAAGCTCTACAGGTAAGTCTGATGTGACAAAGTTTGAAAAGCCCTGGTGAAGATTAAGAATGATAACAACAAGATGTATCCATAAGATGTTTATACTTTATGCATATTATATCATTTTTACTTTATATTTTTATCCTTACAGCAATCCAGTAAGGAGGTAAACGCATTTGCATTTCACAAATGAAGAAACAGATTTGGAAGATCACAGTGACAAAGAAGAGATTCAAACTAAAGTCATCTGATGCAAATTCCAGAAATTTCTACTATACTCCAACTGCTTTAGACAGTGGTCACTGTGAAATGCAGTCCCTGTCCTGTTTAGAAGAGTTTACAGTTTAGTTACGAAGATAGAACAATGACCATGAGCCATGTGAAAGACAATAATAGTAATTTACGGAGGCCCTCTGGTGTGCGAACACCTGTCCAGACCTTGGATCTTTGGGGGTTGAATGTCCCAGGTTACAACACTTTCTCATACTTCACACAAGAGCCTTCAGGCCATCAGAGAACAAAAGGGGCTCTTTTCAGCTGGGTAACTTCTTACGAGAAGAATTCAGAGGAGATCTGAGTTGGGATGAAAGATGAGCACAGGTCTTTAGGGCAGAGATGGATAAAGGGTAGGAAGCAGAAACGGCAACAGTCAAGCAATGAAAGTGATACTTTCAATCAAGATGATAACAATGTGATAATTTATAATAGACCCTAGGGACAATAAAAGTGGGGACGTGGGCCAGGCACAGTGGCTCAAGCCTGTCATCCCAGAACTGTGGGAGGCCGAGGTGAGAGGATAGCCTAAGCCCGGGGGTTCGAGACCCACCTGGGCAACACGGTGAGACCTGTCTCTACAGTAAATCAAAAACTTAGCTGGGCATGGTAGCGCACACCTGTAGTTCCGGCTACTTGGAAGGTTAAGGTGGAAGGATCACTGGATGCCCAGCAGGTCGGTACTGGGATAGCCGTGAATGTGCCACCCACTGCACTCCAGGCTGGGCGATGGAGGGAGACTCCAACTCAAAATAAAATAAAATAAAATAAAAAATAAATAAAAGCAGGGAGGTGGGGAGGAGGCTAGGTGGGGAGGAGGCTAGAAGTTACCTATTTAGGTACCTAAGTGTTCACTATCTGGAGAATGGGTAACCTGAAGCTCCATCCTCACCAGTACACAGTATGTTCATGAAACAAATATGCACTTGTACCCACAAATCTGACACGAATTTTTTTAAAAATGTGATAATTCCAAACTGGATTTTTGAAAATTGCATTTTTATTCAAATTATTTCTAAGTACTGAAAAATCATCTTTGGTCTTAATATTAAAATTTGAGAATTTAAGCCGGGCTCGGTGGCTCAGCCTGTAATCCTGCACCTTGGGATGCTGAGGTGAGTGGACTGCCTGAGCCTGCGGGTTTGAGACCCGCCTGAGCAACTTGGTGAAACCTCATCTCTACAATAAATTAAAAAATTAGCTGGGCGAGGTAGCGCACGCCTGTAGTTTCAGTTACTTGGATCGCCAGAGCCCACCAGGTCGAAGCTGTGGTGGCCAGGAGCGGCCACTGCACTCCAGTCTGGGCAACAGAGTAAGACTCCAACTCAAAAAAAAAAAAAAAAAAATTGAGAGTTTAGAGATCAAAATTATCGTAGGCTAGAGTAATATAGTTTTAAAGATGACATGACAATTAGGAAAGTTTGTTTTTCATTTTGAATTCATGACTAAAACAAGGAGAGACAGAAAAAGTCAGGTTTTTATATAACTCACTATTTCAATATTCTCATAAATTAGTGGCTCAAAGTCTGTTTCTCAGCTAAAAATACATATGGCTAACTTTTACTTTAAAAAAATCCCCAATGGCATAAACATGTTATTTTAGCATGAAAATAATCTAAAAGTCTAATTTGCACTTAGTATCTATTTTCTCTTAAAATGATTTTAGGAAAAAAATAAACATTTCAATAACCTTTCCTTTGGTATTTACTGTTTAGTACTGTATTTAGTAAATATAGTAACTTAATGATTACTCAATGTTTGGTGTGTTATAAAATCCACATAGCAAACCTCTGCTTTAAAATATGTAGTATATATTATAAGAGTATAAGGAGATATAAAGATTCTATCACATAAAGAGAAAATAGTTCAAACATCTATGAATCTCAGAAGCAGTTATCACTATTTAAATGAATCTACCAGATTTCAGTCAAAGTGTTTTAAAAAATTAATTTCAATTTAATTGTCTTTGAAAAAGTCAATACTATGCATGACTATCACTTATTAGCTAAACATTTTTCCCTTAACGACAGGAATTAAGCAGCATTATCACTAATAAAATTAAAAATAGTGTTTCTGCTAAAACTCAAACTCTAAACTAAGTACTAATAATGGAAATCATAATAAGGAAAATATTTCATAAGTATTACCACTGGGAACTATATATACAATCTAAAATTAGAAGTATGACATTACTTAACTTTATTTCTTAAAAAATAGATCATTGCATGGCAGCAGATAAGCATACATTCTTTTTTTTTTCCCCCTGGGAATAAGAGAAGCCCTCTTTTTCTAAGGCAATGATAAAGCAATGGTCCTGGTATACTTATGAAAAAGAAGACATGTGATCATTTGTGGCCTGACACTAGTTTAAGATTGTAGCATCTATCAGTCAAGGTTAACTATACATCAACAGGTTGAAAGCGTATCAAGAGCTATTTGAGTCTGTGATTTCTACAAGAGCAGACTGATCAAAGGGTTTGTTGGTGACTGGAAAGTACTGGAGCTTTGCCCAAATGGAAGCATTTCTTACACCCTACTATTGCAGAATTAGGAGAAATATTGACGTCATGAGCACAAAAAAAGCCACTGCTGGCAAGCAAACACCGGCTTGGTAGACCATAAATGTGACCTAATATGGAAATTCCTACAACTTTAGACTATTACTTAGTTATGACAATGTTTTTCAACCACCTCAGAATTATGTAGCTAAGGAAGGTCATGCAACAGTAAACAACATTGTTATACTTAATTCACAACAACTAAGAAAAATCATAAAATGCCATTTTTGGCATGTTACATTTTCCAAATGATAGCATAAGAGAATTATCCTGGGATAATTATAAAGGAATATATTGAGCTTTCAGGGTTTGACAAATCAGCAAATATACATATTCACACCTCATTTTCCCCAATCTTTTCTAGGAATGAAGTAGATACACATGAATTAATTTGCCACATAATTGCAGCTTATCCATTCAAAATGTCAATACCTTTATTACTCAATTGAGATGGAAATCTCTACAAAATGCATTATACCCTTTATTCTTAATGACTCATGAACCGCAATTATTTTAATAGTCTATAATGAAAAGTACAATATAGCTTCATGCAAAATGGCCCAGATAACTCTACTATCTAATTCTCCTATGTGCTTTAGCTAGTTTCTTCCTCTCTGTCGCCGTCAGCCTTTGTGTTCGATAGTGCCTCAGTGCATCATCCTCTAGAAGTTCCTCCTCCTTTTTCTAACACTGATATGCTATATGCTAAAAAAAAAAAAATAGGTAGTCAAGGTGAGCCGATAAACTAGATTAGAGTAAATACATCGTACCAAAGAGTTCTGGGGTCTATCTCCTGAATTCTTACCTATGCTTTGGCTAGGTAAGATTTTTGAGTAGGTGCTTTTTATTTATTTATTTATTTTTTGATAAACAGTGTATTTCCAAGTCACTAAATTAGGAAATTCCATCTCTTGGAGATAAAAATCTCTGAGGATTGCATTTCACAAGGATGGGGCATCACTGTTGCTTTAAGCTGCCCTCCTGGTGTGAATCCACATTCTGTCTCTGGCTCATTCTGCCTAACCTAGGCATTCAGAACCTTGCCCGATTTGCCTCAGGGTTGGACAAAATGAAGCCAAGTAAGTAGGGTGTGACATCACTTTTGGAAAAGGTATATTGTTGCTAATAGTCTAACGCTACTTTGTTCTAGCCTGCTAAGTAGTGCTATGGGGCCAGATAAATTTAGCAATGAGAATTTCCCCTCTGACTTGTTTCCATGACAGAGTCTGGGACATTTTTAGCTCAGCTGAATTAAGTAAAGTCTATAGTAAAGGGGACATTCTAATGGAATTTTCCCATTCACAGATGATATATTATAAGCACACACTCACTGACTATAGAAACAGAACTTTAAAAACTGATAAACTTCTTGGGAATATCTGGGCAGAGAGAAAAGTAATTCAATTAGCTCATGTCTTTGATGGATAGTCTGAAACCCACAGACTCTGGGTTTCCAAGTGAAAATGATAACTTGGTACTTGCTTTGGAAGAGCCTTCTAGTCCATTGCAGAGATGGGGCACACCTGACAAAAAGAGTCCTTGTTCTCTGTAAGCCCCCACACATACGTTTCTATAAGTTAGGGCTGGGAGGATGGAAAAGGCACTCACATCCTTATGGTAGAGAGTTCTGATGTTCACTTACTTAGCTTGTGCCAACACTCCAATGACTTCTGCATACAGGTCTGCCACAATGTGCATATTGCCAGTGTTAGGACCAAGGTACCTACAGGAGGTATAATTAGACAAGTTGGGGATCCTTTGTCATGTAAAAAGAGCAAACCATTGATTGTGATTCAAGCATCCAACTTCTTCAGCATTCTAAGGCAAGAAATCATCTTACCCTTCTTTGTATTTAAAGTGCTTGAAAGCCAAGTTAATAACATCATGTATTAAACTGTCTATTACAGGATGAAGTGGAATCTGGGGAAAAAAAAAAAAGACAGGTCTTAACTTGGAAGGAAGCATTATAGAGCCAATCCATAACCATACTTTCAATAACTATAGATGATAATCAACAGCTATCAATAAACATAATTCAGATGAGCCAGTGTTTGGAATTAAGAAACAATTTAATAAAATTATACTTTCCAAATGTAAGTAGTTTTTAAATCAGTAAATGTTATCTAAAAGTAGCAATAAATTAATTACTTACCTGTTTCAAAACTTCTATTAATACTAAAGAAAAAATAAAATCAATGGCGAGGTCTCGTCTTTCCATTAAATAATCTCGCTGTTGTTCATCACTGTAAAGTTTAAAATATTCACATTAAATCTCACTGAAAGCACTCTTAGGATAATATAATTCACAAAAGCAATTAAAACTCCTCTACAATGGCCTACAAACCCATTTTATTATTACAAGATTGCAGTGGTCAATACATGCTAACCCTCTTTCTATGATCAGTGTGGTACAGTGGACAAATGTTAAATTAGAAGTCAGTCTATTTGGCCTCAGATTTACAATCTTAAACAACATTATCTTGAGTAGTTATTTGTGAGGCTACAACGTCATTTTGTGAACTTTTCTAAGGTAGCTTTCAACTTGGGATTGTATCATCTGTCAAACTGCGATACAAACTTGAGACAGGACTACAACACTAGAGGTACACATAGAAAAAGAGGCCTTGGGAAAGAAGAACACTGTAAGGACATAATAAGGAAATAATATGATCACCAACTAGAGCAGGACTACCAAGGTGGAGAGGACCAGCACTGCTTCTCTTTTTGTCTTGGGTCAGGGTCTTACTCCGTCATCTGGGCTCAGGTGATCCTTCTGCCTCGTCTCCCAAGTGTTTGGGACTACAGGTTTGTACCACCATGCCTGATGAATTTTTTGTTTGTTTGTTTGTAGAGACACGGTCTTGCTATGTTGTCCAGGCTGGTCTCGAACTCCTGGGCTCAAGTAATTCTTCTGCCTCAGCCTCCCAAAGAGCTGGGATCACAGGCATGAGCTGCAGGGCCCAGTCTGCTTCTCTTTCTTTTTTTCCCCTTCCTTTTCCCATCTTCCACTTTTACCACTTGAGATTTAGTGAAAGGAGGAAAGAAGCGGCAAAGATGTGGCAGAGAAAAACCATCAAAAGTAGAAAGAAGAAGAGGCAGGAGAGACAAAGCAGAGTCACTACACTCGTTCCAAAGTCAGGGAGCAGAGTAAACACTATCAGCAGGCCAGCAATGCACCCTGTCTATCCCATTTTCTGCCTATGTAACATGCTGACTTAGGGCTCATTTGGAATTGAACAAAGACAGACCAATGGAATAACTGGTGGGTTCCTGGGCACAGCATGGCAGCTAAGAACACACCAACTCTGGTGTGAAATGGTCCTGGCTTAAAATGATGCTCCTTTTACTCACCAGCAATTTCTCCATCTATAAAATGTGAATAATAATAGTACTGAGATATCAGTTTGAGAAGATAACAGCATGCATTTGGCATAATCTCCCAAGCACACAAATGCTCGATACTCACATATTAAATAAAACCAATGAGCAAGGATGACAGGATTTAGATTTGTCAGGGAGATATTTTTAACACAAATCAAGAAGATTTTAAATATGGGATGCTTTCTCTTTAGTCAAGAGGGAATAGGAAGGAAGGAATGTGGTACTGAAGATAGAACAAAGAACTTCTGGAGTGCTCTGTAACTTTGAGCAAGCCAAATTAAGGCTGGTGAATGACAGAATGGGTTAAGAAGGCAAGGTGCAGTTTTATCTTTTCAAGTGTAAATGTGTTACAGGGAAGGCGCTCATTCATTCTGGATGATCTATGAACAGCCCTGCCAGGAGGAAGAACAATGGGCAAAACCATCTCTCTGGAGTCCTTTAAGAATTGGAATTAGAAAAAGGTACAGCTAGCTTAGGGAAAGGAAAGGAAAACCTATGGAGCTGCATTGAAAAGGAGGGTGCTCACAAGCCAAGACTTCTATCCATTATATCACGAATGAGGAAACAGGAAGTTGGAAAGACCAACAGGAAGAACACCTCGGCAAGGCCAGTAGCAGTAGGGAGAACATTTTGTGTTGGATGGCTGATTGGAGTCTTCAAAAGTGGCCAAAAGACCCTGAGAAAGTAGCCGTTCTCGAAAGGAAAAAAGAAATAGGCTTCTGATTCTGTTTCATTTAATAAGCCATGCTGTGCTTTGAAATCAAAGTAAGACACACACTTTTCCGATGATGAACTTAACTTCATTGCTGGTGTGAGGAGCCAGAGGCATTGGACACATTTATTTGGCTGTCAAGATGTTGATCTTATACTCATCTTAGAAATCATCACCAAATGCACGTATCTCACATTTGACTATTTTCAGTTGTTTGTGCTCTTCCTTAAGGTTCCTCTTTTCTTTTATCTAGCAACAGAAACTCACCTTTACCTGGCTACACGATTGCTCTCATGACTCTCGTTCTTTGGGCATTTTCCCAAGGACACATTCTCTCTCTTATTTTACACATTCAACTGTCACTAAAATGCTACTACAACAAATTTTACTGTCCTGATTCTATATTTGATCTCATTACTCTCTGATCTCCTGAAAATAACCAGTAACACAATTTTTAAAAAAAACCTATCATTTTTCAATCCATAAAGAAATCAATTTATAAAAAATCCAGTTTCAGTAATTAAATTTGGACAGCCCAGAGGAACAAAACCAGAGCTCATTTAATTCAACTCACTAAAACTTTTCTACTCCAGGAAAGTCTTAATATCTGTTCGTAAGTCAGATAGTACATAATATGGGAAAATAATCAAATAATTCCATTAATTTATTAATTGCATGGTCTGAAACATTTTTCAAAACACAATTGAAATTCTACCTTTAAAATATGATAAATTTAAAACATATTTGTGAGAAGAGACAGCTAGTGGGTGCAGGCTTTGTTTCTGAAGTGATGAAAATGTTATGAAATTAAATAGGGGTGATGGTTGTACAATCCTGAGAATACACTAAAAACACTGAATTATACATTTTTAAAGGGTGAATTTTGCAAATGCGAATTATATCTCAATTTTAAAATTCATTTTTTCAACTACAAAAATTACTAAATATAAAAAAGTTATTGACCTCTCCCTCAAGAACAATAAATTAAGTGATTGAATCACACATAAACTCAAGCACATTATAAAACTAGATTACAAGGTTGGATGAAATATAATTTGGTAAAATTACAGGTCTTCAATTTCAAGAGAGGTCTACAGTTTTTTAAAAATATGGTATTAGAACTGTCAAAAAAATGAGAGGAATAAACTTCTCACAAGAAGTGGCTAATGTCTGATTTTATGAGTGATTAATTTCAGTTTCCTGTCTTTAAAAAGCATTTTTCAAAAAAACCCAAATAATCACTCCATGTAGAGGAATCTAATTGCTTTTAAAATTAAACTTAAAATTTTTTTAAAAACTCTCTTATTTTTTAAAAAAGGTCAAACGTATTAAACTTTCGAATATTCACTGTCCTGCTATAGGTTGATTTCAAACATATGAAGTTACATGTGTTTACCTGAAATTTGGGGGGAAACACATTCATGAGAATCTTAAATTTTATGGCTACAAGCTCATGTAGGACCAAGCTCATGTAGGACCAAGTTCCAATTTTCAAACCCACAAGAGAAGGGGACCACAGAAGAAATAAGCAAAACGCTCCGCTGGAAGGAGGAGTCAGAGATGGTGTAACCTAACTTTCCCGTTTTGCTAACGAAGAGGCTGAGTTACAGAGAGGCGGTGAGCTGCCCAAAGTCACATGGCTGATTAGTGGCAGCGCCAGGACTCCCACTGACGTCCAGTCCAGTGTCCTTCCCACTACAGTACACTGAGCACTCAAGGTTACTGGAACAAGGATTAAAATACCTTGGTATGTCATGCTGGGCCTGCAGCCGGCATTCGGCTTTGGTTGTGGACTTGGGGATAGTGGGGGAGGCAGAGGAAAGAAGCCAACGGGAGAGTGACTTGCGGCCCTTTACACACCGATCCACCAATGTTGAAATAAGGCTGGGTAGGACTTTTCAACCTGTGACAGCTGGCAGTGACTCGGGCATCAAATAGGTCACCTGCTGCAGATGAGAGGGTGACTACAGCACCTGCTAGGCATCCTGGTGAAGATTCAGGAAGGCCTAGATGCCTCTCACCTCTCAATTTATGTGTCTTAAAAACAAAACCATAATCCTCACACAAAAAGAAATGTACCTTTTTGATTTATTGCTTGTTCTTGGTCTGTATTCGTGCGACTCATCCTCAATGCCATTTTGCCTTTTATACCAGTCGAATAATGTCCGCAGGATGGAAGGCAGGCAGTACTCAGAGAGGGAGCTCATTGAGCTGATGACCTACGGAGAAAAATGTAGGCAATTAAAGAAAGGGCCTTGGTGGCATTGCCAGTTACTGAGAAACTTTTTAGTTCACAAATAACCCAAGCACTATTCACTACAAAATTTTTTTATTTATCACAGTCTTTTCTTTCATAATCTTTATTAGTACATTCCCAAGAGCCCAAGTCCCTTAATGCTGACAGATGTTCCTCATACAATCAGAATTTTGTGGTTCAAGAAAGTTAATTACTTTGACTCTCTTTCATTCTAGACATCATATGTCATATGTCGTGGAACCACAAAGAAATTATTTTCCCACATTTACCCACCTATATTACTTTGTACTTCTTTGGTCTTCAAAGATGCTTGTTGTACAAATATGTTAATACAATTATGTTAATTGTTTAGATGAAATAAGTCTATCCCCCGGAATAACCTAAGCGGTAATAATATGTGACATATTTTGCCAATAATCATTCATTTATTCATCTGAAGTAGCTTTAGATTAGACTCAAGGTATGAATAAGTAGCAATAATTTACCCTCCAGTACATTAAAGTCAAACTTCTCCCCTCTTCTTTATACAAAAAAATTGCCTTTGATAGGCTCATTATTCTAATTTCCTTATCTGGAAAGATTCCTGATCTTTTACTAATTAGCACACAAAAAAAGAACCTCAATCCATATCTCGTATCATATGCAAAAGTTAACTCAAAATGCAACATACATCTAAGTAGAAAACCTAAAACTATAAAACTTCTCAAGAAAACATAGGAGAAAATCCTAAGACTTTAGCGTAGGCAAGGATTTTTTTGCTTTGATTTTTTTGAGTCCGGGTCTCATTCTGGCACCCAAGCTGGAGTGCAGTGGCATGATCACAACTCACTGCAGCCTCGACCTCCTGGGCTCTGGCAATCCTTCCACCTCAGCCTCCCGTGTAACTGGAACTACATAGAAGCACATCTCACCCTGCCCAGCTAATATTTTTATTTTTATAGAGACAAGGTCTCACTATGTTGCCTAGGCTGGTCTTGAACTCCGGAGCTCAAGCAATCCTCTTGCCTTGGCCTCCCAAAGTGCTGGGTTTACAGGTGAGAGCCAATCTGGTTTAGGCAAGGATTTCATAGGTATGACCCCAAAAGCAAAGTCCATGATAAAATGATATACTGAAAGTCATCAAAATTAAAAGCTTCTGCTTTTAGAAAGAAATTATTAAGAGAGTGATAAGCCACAGATGGGAGAAAATATTTGCAAAACACACATCTGATAAAGGTTTTATATCCAGAATGTATAAAACTACATTGAAATAGGTTGTTTAGTACCTCATTAACAAACTGTATAAGCAAATTATAATACCCAGTACTGGTGAGCAGTGATAAAATGGCCATGTTTATATACTGTTGATAACAACAACAACAAAAAACCAGGTATAATATATCTGGAAGTAATTTGGAAATACATATCAAGAATCTAATAAATATCATTCTCAAGAAGATCAATCCTAGAACTGCTATCAAGTACATTCTTGGAAATGAATGTTCAAGACATCATTACTTATTCTAGCAAAAATGAAAACAATCTAGATGTCTAACTATATGTAAATGCCTTAATAACATGGGGAATTTGGTATAGACTATTTATGAAATGATTGAAAATCACACTTCAAAAATATATATATTTTTTGAGTCGGGGTCTCACTGTCGCCCAGGCTGAAGTGCAGTGGCATTGATCATAGCTCACTACAGTCTCACTTCCTGGGTTCAGGTGATCCTTCTACCTCAACCTCCCAAGTAGCTGGGACTACAGGCACACACTAACACATCCAGCTAATTTTTTGATTTTTTGTAGGGATAAGGTCTTACTACGTTGTTCAGGCTGGTCTTGAATTCCTAGGCTTAAGCAATCCTCTCGCCTCAGCCTCCCAAAGTGCCGGGATTACAGGTGTAAGCCACTGTGCCTGGCAGTTTTCAAAAATATTTCATGATATAAAAATGTTCATATGTTAACTGAAAAAGGAATGAAAAATCATTTAATGGGTAAGATACCAATATGGTGCAGACACTATGTAAGTATGCATACACAGAAAATAAGACCAGGAGGAAGTACATCACACATAGTGTGCTTGTTAAAACCAGGGGTTCATAGGATAGAAAGGCCAATTAGAGGGAGAGGGTAGGTGGGAGTTTAAGAGAAATAAAGACTGGGTTTTGTCTGGGCCTATTTTAGAAAGAGTAGAAATTTGAGATGAGAGTCAAGAAAAAAAAATAAGCAAAGACCCAAGCCAGGCAAGTTTATGGTAATGAAAGTGTTGATACTGATTAAATAACTGTTGATAATGATTATAATGATGATTAATGTGATGAAGGCTTTGAGTGAACTGAAAGAAAAAATATCTGGCTGGTGTGGAGAGTTTGGTTTGCCAAAGTGAAGGAATATAATGTTGAAAATTTTTCTTCTCCAGAAAGAGGGAAGCCCCTAAAGATTTCTGAATAGAGACATAAGCCCATACAAATAGTGTTTGTGAAGGTTTAACTTAGCAGCAATGTGGAGGAGAACACACATACACACACACATACACAGAGACACACACACAAATTACATTAGGTTATCGCAATGGTTCCAGGCATGCAGTGATCTCAGCCTGAGACCGGGAAGGTGGCAGAAGAAATGGAAATCTTTAGTTAACTTAAAACATTTCTGCAGTCCAGCAGGCCAGGCTGAACTTCCTTTTATGAGGCAGGAAACAAGAGTGAAGGAAGCTCAAGAGCTTTGTGTCAATAGGACTTTCCACTGTCACCTTTAAAAGAAGCCCTGAGGTTGAACAAAACTTTTATTGCTTTCTTCCTCAGAGTCTATCTCACACTAGCCTATTTCATGCACGCTCTCCTATAATGCTGGATATATAAAATTGTACATTATCATTAGTTATGGGTTAATATAAGCTAAAAATAAACAGGTTATTGCAATCAGCCTGCCCTGTGAACCTAGTCAACATTAACTTTTTTGGAAAAAGTGAATAAAAATCTAACTATATATAAGAGTCCTCCTTCCCCCACCCTGGTAATATCCACAGCCAAGACCTATTTTTCTGCCATGGTTGTGAATATAAAGCAGTGACTTTTTGGAAGAAAGATAATCATGATATGCAAAAACACCCCAACACAAGAAAGGATATTTCCCTGAAATTTTTTGAAATAGAAAATGAGACCTCATCTCCACAATAAATCAAAAAATTAGCTGGGCGTGGTAGTGTGCACCTGTAGTTCCAGCTACTTGGAAGGCTGGGGCGGAAGGATCGCCGGCACCCAGCAGGTAGAGGCTGCGGTGGCCGGGAGCCGCCACTGCACTCCAGTCTGGGTGACAGAGTGAGACTCCAACTCAAAAAAAAGAAAAAGAAAAAGAAAAGAAAATGAAGGAGGTTCTTCCCAGAGAGGAAAAAGAGATCAGAATTCAGAGTTTCCAACTATGGGTTAACTGTCTTAATTATTATGCAGTAAAATTTCAAAGCCCCTACTATTATATTTCAATCATTTAAAAATATATGTGCAGGCCGGGCATGGAGGCTCATGTCTATAATCCCAGCACTTTGGGAGGCTGAGGTGAGAGGATTGCCTGAGCCCATGGGTTCAAAACTAGCCTGGGCAACTTGGTGAGACCTCATCTCTACAATAAATCAAAAAATTAGCCGGGCATGGTGGCATGTGCCTATAGTTCCAGCTACTTGGAGGGCTGAGGTGGAAGGATTGCCGGAGCCCAGCAGGTTGACACTGGGATGGCTGCCACTGCACTCCAGTCTGGGTGACAAAGTGAGACTCCAACTCCAATATATATATATGTGATATCCTAGATGGTATTTTGGAAGAGAAAAAGATATTAGAAAAAAACAAATGAAATACAAATACAGTGCAGTATAACACATAGTTAATAATAACATACCGATGCTGGTTTCTTAGTTATGACAAATGTGTCGTGGTAATATAAGATGTTAGCAGCAGGGGAAACTGGCAACTCCCTGCACTGTGTTTGCAACTTTTCTGTAAACCCCAAACTATTCCAAAACACGTTTATTTTAAAAAATACTTATGTGGGATATTTACAAGCTCCGTTATTCACTACTGACCCTAAAAGAGATACAAGTTTATTTTTGAGTCCCAAACAACTCTGGGAAGAACACACAATATTCAAGCACTTCACTTAGGAGGAACTCCCATTCTCCAAAGAGAATGTCCACAGTGTTCCTCGAACCTCATCTATAATGATTTCTTTTCTTCCCATCAAAAAGTCACCCTGCAGCCATCCTTGGTATTGGATCTACCGGGCCACAACACGAGCCCATCTCAGAAGGGATGAAAGGTCAGCACGGGTGGATGTGTGTGTTTTTCCATCTTTCTGTTACTGCCCTTTTGAGCCCAGGCTTTCAGGAAGGAAGGGTGGAATTTGCAAAGACCTGGCCCTCAAAGCTCAGGAAGGGAGGAAGGTCTAGCTGGCTTCTTGGTTGCTCAACTGGTTCATTTACGGGAAGCAGAGCCAATGGCAAGATGAATTCTTGCTCTGTGCTGCTGCCGAAAGGGGGTAGGCCCAATGACAAAGATGTTCTTGTTGCATTTAAATGATCATATTCTTCCACCATAGATGAGCTAGGTACTGGGTCGCATGAAGAGATGGAGTGCATGGAATCACAGAACTACTTCACACTGGTGTTTTCTTTTTTGGGGGGATAGAGGTGAATACTAAAAGCACTTTGTAAATGATTTAATGTGTACTTTGGCATTTTATGTGTGAACAGGCTAAAAGAGACTGTCTGTGATGCTGCGGTTAAGACACTGATTTTTTCATAAGCATTTTCTTATACTTGCGAAACGTAAAGAAGGAAACTTCACATATAAATATTTGAATAATTACTCAGTGGAGTCATTCCATATTTTGACAGTAATAAAGCTGACTTCTCATAATGTGCAATTAATGAATAATTTTAAAGTAACTGCATTGATGACAACTAATTTCTCAAACAAATTCAGG